TTGGATGGGTTAAAAGTCAGATTAATTTTACTGCATTCTCTTCCGAATTCTTCTATCCTGTTGCTCAGTATTTCTACGGCATCATCAAGCTTCTTGTGAAAGCACACCAGGAAGAAGTCATCAGCGTATTGAAAAAGTTGACAGTTTTGATTGTTGACCTTATGAAGCCCTGCCGTGTATATGTTGAATAAAGTTGGGCTCACACTGCCTTGGCAGACTCCTCTATTTATCTCCACCTTGCCAGAGCCCTTTATAAGGAATCTGCTTCGAAAAAACCAATTATCCATTGAACTTGGTGAATATCGAACTCCATGCAATTCAGCTTGTATTCCAAGATATCGATATCTACACAATCAAACGCCTTTTGCAGGTGCAGACATGCCGCTGCCACCTTGAAGCCTTCGGTTTTTAGGCATTGAATCTTGTTTACCAGGTCGTTGATGCATAGGGTGGTTAATCTGTTTTTCCTAAAAGCGTACGATCTGTCCGGCAGTAAGCTTCGGCTGGCGATGTGAACCTCAAATTTAATTTTAATTAGTCCTTCAATTGATTTAAATAGTGAACTCAGAAGGCAGATCGGCCTGTGATTTTGTATAAGGGCGGTATCTGCATTCCTTTTTGGAACCGGAACCAGACGAATATGTCTCCAGTATGCCATATGCCGTTCAGTATCTTAAATATATGGACTTTCTTGGCGTTAGGTAAATTCTGCCGCATCCGGTATGATATGCCGTCCAGACCGCATGCCGATGCTGGGCTTCTTGTATTCAAAAAAGAAATGATGTCCTCAAAATCTAAGGAACTGTTTGGCGTGATATTTTGTGTTGTTTGAGCCAGTCTCTGTGGTGGATTGCTTGATGTGCCTGGTGTGTCTTTTACTATTTGTAAAAACTCGTCGTCTTCCTCTTTGGACCATGTAGTACCTGTCTTTTTTATTTGTTTGTAAAACTTTAGATGCTAGGCACCACTCCACAATGACTGCGTTGACGTAATATCACCCAAGAAATTGGTAAAATTTAGTCTACGGCAGTTTTTAATGTGGCTTTGCAATTTTGTTTCCGCCTCCATTAATTTTTCCGCATCTGATAGTTTTTTGGAAAAGTAAAATTTCTTTCTGCTCGCATTTCTAAGGCGGAACAGCCTGTTTGCATCTTCATCCCACCACTTCTTTGGCACGTGTTTGTTGTCGCTGGGTAATATAACGGTGTTCGCTTTGATAATTGAGCGAACATTGCCGTTAAGTGTGTCCAGATCTGTGAACTCACTGTTAGAGAATACCCTTACGATTCTATTGTGCAGTACTTTTTTGTGATTAGATGATGTGGTTAATGGGTCCAGCTGGATCATGACCGGCAGGTGATTACTATTGGATATTTTGCAGCTTAAAGCCTGCCATCTTACTTCCTGGTTTCTGAAGTTGCAGAAGGTCAGATCCAAGACTGACAAGTTACCTGGACCACGAGAAAAAGTTGGAGAGCCATTGTTTAGGCATATAAAACCGGAGTCCGCGGCGGCCCGTTCAATGCTATGTCCCTTACTGTCACTAGTAGGACTACCCCATGTGATAGATTTAGCATTAAAGTCTCCACTAATTAGGGATGCCTTGTTCAGAGAGGCCGCGAACGCGAAAATGTCCTTAACTCTTTTTACACTCTGTACATGAAATGTACAAGAGTATATTAGGTTTGCGCGAGCTGAAAAATGTAACAGGCAGAAGGAAGCGTGGCAGACCCAGCAAAGTATATATATTCTTGATCAGCATGACAAGACGAGTCGATTTAGCCCTGTCTGTCTGTCTGTCCGTCCGTCCGTCCGTATGATCACCTAGATCTCAGAGACTATAAGAGCTAGACACACCAAATTTTGCACAAAGATGCCTTATGTGTGTACGCTATACGAGTTTGTTTAATTTTTTTGATTTTCCCCCTCGCTTCCCCCCTATGGGGGTTTTCCCGATTTTCCATTCGTATAACCGCCTATATCTCGGAGACTTGTGTGAATACGCAGAAAATGTGTATTTCGGAATTTCCCTCCCTCCCCCCTCTCCTATGCAAATCGCGATTTTCTCTAACTCCTGTAATTCTTGGAATTTCGAACTTAACCTTAGCAAATACCTTCAGTTAGTTATTATGTGTCCGTACGCCAAGTTTTACCATGATAGACCGAATTAACAAGTTATAGCCATAAATATATTTGCTGCTGCAGCGCTGCCTGCGGCTGTTGTTGATGTTGCTGTTTGGTTGACTGCTAACATGTTTACACAGACACGAATAGATGCGCATAGGCATACATACACTCACACAGACGCAATTGCTAAGTAAATGTGCAATTATACACAATTTACGTGAGTTCGAATACCGAGAAAGGTAAAATCGAAATCGAAAAAAATTTTTTTTTTATTTTCTTAATTTTTTTTATTTTCTATAATTATTGTAAACATATGTACAGAGTATTTCAAAGTCGGGACACCCGACTTTAGCTTTTTTACTTGTTTATTTATAAGGAACATATTTAAAAGCTGTTTGTTGTTGTTGTAAGTCAAACTTTGAATGTTATACTGTAGGATCTTCATATTAATTATTATTTGCCAGAGCCGACGCGTTTCTGATTAAATTGGCGTCTAGCTCTGCGTTCGTAGCGTTTATGAAGTCCCTTATTTCTTCCCAGAATATTCTTGGCGGGCCAGCTCCATTATTGTTATTCTGATCCGTTAAGGAGCCCAGAATCTTTTCCCCAAGCCAATCAAACTTTTCCTGCAGCAAGGATTCGTTTGAGACCAATGAGTCTATGATCGAATTGCGATTGACATTTTTAACCCACTCTCGAATAGGGATGGACATTTTTTCCTAATCTCCTGCTTGGAGAGATTTTCTACCGCCATACATTTTTGTATTGCATATGCCTTTTGCCTTGCTGGGCACTGTGGAGCTGTAGCCATGTGCTCCCCTTTACAATTTGCGCATGCAATGGCTGAACAAATGACTTCCTTCTCGTGCTCCATGCCGCATTTGAAGCACCGCGCGGCTCCCTTGCAATGCTTGGCCATATGGCCGAAGCGCTGGCAACGGAAGCATTGCCGAAACTCAATATAAGGGTGCACCTCCACCATTGTGTAAAGAAATTTTATTTCTTTGGGAAGCTGGTGTCCCTTAAACCAAACTTTGACTCTCATAGTGGGGACAAGATCCTTTGAATTCGAGTCTCTTTTGAAAATTCTTTCCACCTGCGATATTGGAATATCAGCTGACAAGAGCTCCATCAGTAGCTCGTTGGACATATGCGTAGGGATATTAAACAAAATTCCTGCCTTGGCTATGAAATGCCTAAATATTTTAGGCACAAAACCACGGTCTGCAAGCACTTGCAATGACGCCAGCTCATTCGCACTTTCGGCCGAACGGCAAATAATTTTACACCTGACATACCCTATTTTTATTACCTCGTCGATACCTTCAATCTTCTTGGAACATAGCAGTTCCGTGAGTTCAAATTGATTTATGGCTTTTCTCAACCCGAATTCACAAGCCTTGTCCACATAAACCACATAAGGGCCTTTATGAGCCTCTTTATAATGAAAGTTATTACTCACGCTTTTTTCCCCACTTCTTCTTTTTCCTTTAAACCATTTGTCTCCGAATTATCTGACTTACTTGAGTCTTCCTCTTTATCTTTCCCCGAACGGTGTTCAAATTAGAGGTTGAGAAACATCGATGGTACTATCGATGCATCGATGTTTTTAATTTTGTTTAAAACATCGATTGTTTCTGGCGACTATCGATGTTTCTCGCTTACATCTCTATGAAAGTGAAAGATCGATCTTCTCAAGCAAACGTCATTATCATCTTGAGACAACATCTAGATAATTTAAATGAACCGGAGGAATGTGATCCTCTCTTATATTGGAAAGTAAATTCGATATTTTAAATAATATAATTATAAATCCTAATTTTAGATGAATACAGAAGGCATGATGGCGTTTAAAAGTACAGCACAGAAATATTTATGCGTTCCGGCAACTTCATGTGAAGCAGAGAGAGCTTTCAGCAAAGCTGGACAACTAATATATCTGATCGTCGTACTCCCCTAAATCCGAACGTTGTGGACAAGATTATGTTCTTGAACAAAAACCAGGACTTGTTTTTAGACAAATGTTCTTAATACTTTTTTTTTTTTAATTGTGATCTCAGAAATGGAATAAAATAATTTTAATCAGACGTTGGTGTGTCTTTTTATTTTTTTATTATTTTGAACTATTGATGTTACATCGATGTTTTGCTTTAAAAACATCGATGTTTCTCCACCTCTAGTTCAAATTGCAACTGTATTAGCTTTTTTGATAAGTTAATTTTTTAAAACATCGATGCATCGATTTTTTTATAAAAAGAAATTGATTTACATCAACATCGATGTTTTCCCTTCGACTTACATCCCTACCAAGTCTCCTCTATGGTATCGATACCGCAGGTTCGGATGTCTACCATGTACATTTTACAACACTAGTATGCTTGCCATCGATCTGGCAATTTAACGGATAACTAGATCCTTTTCACGCCAATATGACGGCAGAAACACGATTTTGACAATTTTGAATGTGGTTCACCGACTAAAGCGATAATTTTTCAACTTATTATATAATAACAATGCATGTAGAGAATATTTTCGAACCCGATGCTATTGTGAAAGGTAGAAGGATCCAAAAAAGTTGAAAATTGCATCAATGGAATAATAAAGTATGGACGTAGTGAAGACTTTCAAGCTTCGGAACCGGCAAAGAAAACTTTATAGCTAGCTTTATATTCATTATCAGTATTTGCTTATCTCATTATGATTGAAGGCAAAAATGATACTTCCAAGCATTTGGGATTTTAGAACAGTCTACAACAGCTGAGCTGGCTAGTTAGCTTTCGTTTTGTTTTATCCTTTTGCCTCATATTACAGTGAATCGTTCCGATTGGCACCTAGCTTAGACTAACATGGTTTTTCAGCACACGATGATATAGTTGTAGTTAAATTTAAATTGTTTCATTTATTATAAAACGCATGTTCTCTTGCAGGTCATATAAAGTTAATTTCAACTTAAATCCTTGAAGGGTACAACATCTAAAATAAAAGGATACGTATTGCTAACATTGAACTTTTAAAGGTTGCAGCATGTTTCTACTTACGATGCGTACACGGTGTCCCATTGCATGACCGGGCAAGTTCCTTGTAAAGCGGGCACGCACAGCGCCGGTGTTGCCGTGGATGCGAGTAACCTTGCCCCATACTGCACGCACGCGTGTCTTACGGTCGGGTTGCTGTGGCACGCACTTCTTAGTTTCGGCCTTATACACATAAACACAGCGTTTGCCAACATAGAACTCGCCATGCTCCTTACGGCGAGCGCCCTCAATCTGCAATAATTTATACGTTTTAAGTATTATGAGTTTTATATTCATTCAATTTAACTCACCTTGAGAATGGCTTGGTTCTCATGCTGATTTCTCAAACCGCGCTTGTATCCGGTAAAGACAGCCTTCGCAAAGAGGCGACCGTGACGCTTGTATTTCTTTGCAGATACTTTCGTCTCCGCAGCGGCAGCCTTTTCTGGTTTTGGCGCCTTTGCGGCTTTGGGCGCTTTGGGAGCCTTAGCTGCTTTGGGCGCAGCGGCAGCGGGAGTTGCTTGTGTGTCAGCCATCGTAGTTAACTATTAAAATTGGAACGGAACGGCATGTCAGAAAAATTTATGTTAAGCATGATTAAATAGTCCTAACTCTGAATTAGTTGGCAAATGCTCGGAGACACTTTTTCACTGTATTTTGATGCAAATATTGGTTTTTGTTTTGATTGCTATGGTACAGAATGTTATACATGGACCTTAGCCAAAAACATCACACTTTGCTTACGATTGTGGTATTAGCCAACTAGTTCATAGTCCAATATGCATATTAAATTGGTTATTACAACTACTATTTGTGCGTTTATTGTGCATTTTCACGTATATTTTGTTTATTTTAGCGCAGAACACAAAATCCCGCGTACGTACCGGAAGTCTGGCAATTGGCGAAAGAGAGAGACAATGACAGCTGTCAAAGAGCGGTAGTAATTTGACATTTGATTGCATGCAGCACTGAGTCCTAGTGTTGCCATATTTTCAGACAAGTAGTCAGGTGATTGTTGTTTTTATTTCGGGCAGGGAAGAAGCAGCATGACATACTAAGGATTTTTCGTACGCTTTTTGGAAAACAGGGGAAAATTCATAGAAAAATGCAAAAATTAGTAGTACGCAAATGTTTAAACGCAATTAGATAAATAGGCAAAATTTTCAAGCACATGTAATCACTTGAAATTACACGTCACACGACATCCCAGCACCAGTTTACGTGGGCATCGGCATCGCAGTTGCATAAAAGCTTGCTCATTAAGCTTCACTTCTTACTCGATTGGATTTTGGGTTTCCTGACAAAAACAAATGGGTTTGCTGCTGCAAGTGGTTAGATGGGACAAGCGCTGGCACATTCTTACCAAATGCGACATTCTTTTAAAGCGCAATATCAAGAAGCAAGCAGTTTATCCACCAAAGTAAGTTTTTTGGGGGGTGGTGGTGGTGGCGTGAATGCGCTACAGAGATTGACAGATTCGGCGTCGCAAAACAAAAACAAAAGTTGCATAACGTTTACATTTTGTACAGTCTTATACATGTTTATATATATATATATTTTTTTTCAGGCTTGCCGAGGTTGGACGGCTTGTGGAGCCCAGAGACAGCAAATATGAAACTGGACAACTTTTTTTGCATCGCATCTTTGGCTACCGTGGCGTGATTCTATTTCCGTGGACAGCGCGCGTTTACGACCGTGATTTGCATAATCCCAGCAAACAAACAAATGCAACGGCAACTGCAACGGCGTCATCAACACCACGATCTAAAGAGGCTTCGCTTAGAGTTAAGGCAAATAGCACAAGCAGCAGTGGAAGTGGCGATACCGCGACTGCAACTACCGCCGGCGACAGTAAAGGCGCAGCGGCAACGCAATCAGCAAACCAGCAAACTGACACTACTGCGTGGGCAAGCACCTCATCAACAGCTAGTCCGGAAACAAAGAGTACCACAAGTGTAGGTACTGCGAGTAGCACCGCCACTAGCACCACCCCCACCAGCAGTGGCAACAGCAGCAATGTCGATACAAGAGAGGTCAAGGGCAAAGTACAAACGTTCTATCAGGTGCTGATCGACACGAGGGACTGTCCACATATTGTAAGTTATTGCTAATATGTAACTATTGCATTAGAATATGAACTACATTATTTCACTTTTTAAGCGCGCCCAAACCGAAGCTGTTACTTTTCTAGGTAATCAGGACTCTAATCGGAGCTTGTATGCCATACCTGGTCTAGATTATGTGGCTCATGACGATATTATGCCATATAGCTCATCAGATAAGCATCCTCTGCAGCATGAACTTTTCGATAAGTTTCTAACATATGCGCCTGAAAACGAACCACCATTTGTGGGACAGGACACGTTGAAGGCGTGGCAAGAAAAGAACCATCCCTGGCTGGACATGAGCGATGTGCACAAAGAGACAACGGAGAATGTGCGCATTACAGTTATACCCTTCTATATGGGCTGCAGGGAAACTCCCGCCTCATCAGTGTACTGGGTGAGTTGCTCAAAAAAAGATATTAGAACTATTTGGTTTTTATTGAAATTGGAACCATTTCAGTGGCGTTACTGCATACGTCTAGAGAATTTGGGCGAAATGAGTGTTCAATTACGCGAACGTCATTGGCGTATTTTCTCATTATCGGGAACTTTGGAAACGGTGCGGGGACGCGGCGTTGTTGGCCAGGAGCCCATATTAAGTCCACGCCTGCCTGCTTTCCAATACAGCAGCCATGTTAGCTTGCAGGCACCAAGTGGTCATATGTGGGGCACGTTTAGACTGGAGCGTGAAGATGGGTACTCCTTCGACTGTAAAATACCCCCCTTCTCACTTGAAAGTAAGCCGGACGACATCAGTCCACCACCCTCCTCAACATCGCCTACAGGCTCAGGTAGCATCGATGATTACAGCGATGAAAAGAAGCGTGACGATAGCGACTAGGCCACGATGAAGCCAAACAGTTGTTATTTCGTAGTTAACGATTTTACAAAACAATTTATTTTGACTATTCAAGAAGTACATGTGTTTAGTGCAAATTAAAAATAACTAGCGGACAAACGCGTAAAGGCTAATTAGGCTAGTCTCACATTTTTCGGTTCCACCTGCAGTTGGAAATTGAAGGGTTGTCGGTTGTCGTGCATGTCGAAGAGCGTCTGTAGTGCATCTAGGGCGGCAGTTTCTGTTGCTGTATTTACATCCTCGCCGAATCCTTTGCCCAAAAGTTGACGATTCGCATAGATTCCAACATGATACGCAGCCAAGACAGTGTTCTTCCCACAGTCGCCAAGCAGTCGAGGTTCTACATCGCCCAAATTTCGCTGCTGACATACCTCTGTAAGCAACTTAATTGGCTCCGACGGCTTCCACAAATCTAACAAATCCTTTTGATTAAGCTGAGTGCAAACAAAGTCTCGTACAAATATGAAGGCTCGCTCCACACCGCTGGAATCAGAGAGTGCGCCAATGACTGCCTGCAACGTTTGTGCCAACGTCTCTGTAGTGGGCGGATATTCCGCTGAAAATATAAGTTCTTTAGTTCCTAAATGCAAGGCAACATATGCCAGGGTGTTATCGCTGAGTAAATAAGCTGCAATCGCTTGTTGTCCAGCAGATGGCATTTTGGGCAGACTGTGTTGCAAATATGCTTCCACGTAGGCTTTAGCTATATGTGCACCCTTGGCCGCTAGTTCTGTATTATCGGTCGCTTGTAGATCTACCTCCTCAATACCCAGTTTGCGCTGGCGCTCCCGTTCCTGATGTACATAAGAGGGTTGTGTGAATGCCGCCTGTAGCACTGGTAGTTGGAAGCTCTCTTGCAAACGCTTTCCAAAAGCGAACAACTCCGAACGATAGTTCCATTCCACGTATCCGGAGCGAGATTCCGGCTTCTGTGGTCCCTGCTTTTTTGCGCGATGTCTCAGCTCACGTAACGTCGGTGCAACCCACCGTTTTATATTACGTTGCGTTTGAGCTGCAAAAATTTCTACTAAAATGAGTGAACCTTTACAAACAACCTAAACATACCTGTACCTATACTGGTCAGAGGCTTCGCCACTAATATAATACCAGCAACACTGCGTAAAAATGACATGTTTAACAACCAAATCAAACGACAATCCAACTCGTTCGGATTCAATCATATGGGTCTTCAAAAAGTGCTATCGATACTTTTCTAACCTTTTTTTTATCTATACATCGAGTTCGATGAGAAATGTATGAAGGAAAGTATCGAAAGTGTTTCGCAAATTAAATACCGTCCTACACTATGTAACTGTTTTTTCGACATTGAATCTTTACATTTTTTATGCAGATATATCAAAATATTACATATTATGATTTAAACAAACCATAATAACCATATGTTGAGTTTACCATCATAAAGCTGTCATAGAAACAATATTATACAATACAATTACTTCTAAAGATATTGGACTCAAATTGCATATTGAGAATGTTTCAGTCACAAGCGATGGTTTTTCCTAGAAGAAGCTCAAGTACATTGTATGTGTAGAATAATTATAAAAATTTGAAAAAATTCACGAAATTGTATTATAAAAAATTCTTGGTCAATTATGTTATACCTCCCTGGGTATTCGAACTCAACGAGTCTATGACTGCACATATACATATGTATATGAGAATTGAATATACATACATACATATACATATGTTAGTCTCTGCGTGCTTGTGAGTAAGCATGTGTGGAGTACAGAGTTGAGCCAAAGCACCAACAACAACAGCTGCTGCAGATGTTGGGCAGTGATTACATTTATGACTATAACTTCCTTTCAATTTGATCTATCAAGATTAAAGTTGGCATACGGAAACATAATCACAAACAGGAGGTATTTGTTAGGTCTACGGCGCGTCTTTCCGCCTGTTACATTTTTGGCTTCTCCAATATACTCCTGTACAATATACATGTACAGAATATAAAAAGTGGGCGAATCTCAATTGCCAGTCAAGATTTTGGAGCCAATCTTACTTACTGGCTTCGAAGTAAACCAAAATTGTATTTGTCAAACATTGTCCTGTACAAATGTTCTACGAATTGTAAAAGACCAAACAAATAATAAGTTTAGGTGTACCTGCAAGTTATAGAGTAAACAAGAGAGAACGCTACTGTCGAGCATGCCCGACAGTGAAATACCCTGTTCCGGCACTGAGGTATATGCGCCTCTAGCAGAAGCAACAGGAAGAAGAAGATCGAAATTGATGCTGCAGCTTTTGGGCGTAGTAGTACTACTTACAATTACTAATTATGTATATAATGCCGCTCGTTTATGACAGTAGTGGCACTCGCTTGTGAAAGTAGGCCCTACGTATTGACAAAGAGACTGCTGTGGTTATACTACACATGACATCACTAATTTAAACCATCTTTATCTCAAAAATGCGTTTAATTTGTAAAGGTGGGAATGGGAAAATTCCGTGATTTTTGGCTCACTTACAAAGAAACACAGACTTTCGATGGGACAAACAAAATTAGTTTTGTAAAGCTACTGAAGAAAGAAGCAGCTCTGTACCTTTTTCTTGCTCAGCATACAGCAATAGCGCAGATTGACCGCTTTTGAAATGTTCACCAAGATGATGGAAAATGTATTTTCCAAGGTTTTTTTTAAAGCACTTCTTGTAAAAATAAATGTAGCTTTTTATTACGCTTTTTTGCAATAATTTTTAGCTTTTTTTCACTCTCCTTCCCGACAAAAACAGCTTTTTTTCCTTCTAAAAAGTTGGCAACACTGCGTAGTACCGAAGTAAAATTTTTTCGCTAATAACTTTTCTTAGAACCAACCGATTTAGATGAAATTTGAAACAAAAATAGATAATTATATAGAAATTATGTGTGCAAGGTTAGGGTAGCTTCTGAAATGTGGACGGTATTGAAATTCTGTAGCGGGGTAAGGCGGGGGAATTCCAAAAAATAAAATAAACTCGTCCTTTCTCGGACCTAGGAGAATCTCTATTCCAACTTATATGGTTATTCTAGTTTTCATAGTTTCTGAGATCCTTGCGTTCATCCAGACGGACATGTCTAGATCGATTTCTCTCGTCATGCTGATTCAGAATATATGTATATGTATACTTTATGGGGTCTGAGATGCTTCCTTCTGCATGTTACATACTTTGCACAAACCTAATATACCCTTTTTACCCTACGGATACAGAGTATAAAAATACTAGAATTTTTGCATATGACATATCGATAAGTTGTACCGATACTTAAGTACTCGATGGGTTGATAATAAAAAGACGCCATCCTGCTTGTGTATGCGGCATGAAAATTTTGGTCTGCTAAACTGTGACTTAATAAAAATATACTTCATTGGGCAGTAAAATAAGCAGCAACATGGCTCTGCAAACTTACGGTGACAAGCCGGTGGCATTTCAACTAGAAGAGGGCGGAGAGTATTATTATGTTGGCTCCGAGGTCGGAAATTACATGCGCCACTTTAGGGGTATACTCTACAAAAAATATCCTGGGATGACACGGATTGTGTTGTCCAACGAGGAGCGAAAGAGGCTGGCTGATTCTGGACTCAGTTCACACATTTTGGCCAGCTCCGTGTCTTTGCTGCGTGCAGTCGAAGTGGATGACATTATGGCAGGAAACGATGAGAAGTACGTCATATTCCAAATATTATTGCTGTAGCTAAAGTCTCAACATTTTCCTTTTACAGATATCGCGCAGTTTCAGTGAATACTTCCGATACACCTGTACCCCGTGAGAGCAAGTCGAAAAAACAACCACAATACGTACCAACGATGCCGAATTCGAGTCACCTGGATGCAGTTCCCCAGGCCACACCCATCAATCGTAATCGTGTGCACACGAAGAAGGTGCGCACATTTCCGATGTGCTTTGATGACACCGATCCCACGGCAAGTTTGGAAAATGCGGCACAAAAAGAGTGCCTGGTACCCATTCGGCTAGATATGGAACTGGAAGGGCAAAAGCTACGCGACACGTTCACATGGAACAAAAACGAGAGTATGATCACGCCAGAACAATTTGCCGAAGTGTTGTGCGATGACTTGGACTTAAATCCTATTCCATTTGTACCGGCCATTGCACAAGCCATACGCCAACAAATCGAAGCCTTTCCAAACGATCCGCCCATATTGGAGGAAAGCTGCGATCAGCGTGTCATAGTCAAACTTAATATACATGTCGGCAATACATCACTCGTCGATCAGGTCGAATGGGACATGTCGGAGAAGAATAATAATCCCGAAGAGTTTGCCATCAAGCTATGCGCTGAGCTTGGTCTTGGTGGTGAGTTCGTCACAGCCATTGCGTATAGCATACGGGGACAGCTGTCCTGGCATTGTCGCACGTATGCCTTCAGTGAAGCTCCATTGTCCACCATTGATGTACCGTTCCGAAATCCCAGCGATGCGGACGCTTGGGCACCATTCCTAGAAACACTAACTGATGCCGAAATGGAGAAGAAAATACGCGATCAGGACCGTAATACGCGACGCATGCGACGTTTGGCCAATACCACAACGGGTTGGTAATCTTATTGAATAGTACTCCTTTTCATTATCTTCGATCTGTGTAGGTCTTTATGTTCATCCCATCTAAAAGGCAATATATATAAATACACGTGTCTAATTTTAAAGCCAATTACATGCTATTTTATCGAAATAATTTCTCTTAACAATTGCTAGCTTATGAGATAAATAATGCTTACAGCTTCTAACTTTCAACTGAATCTGGCTTGTCTTGATCTTGATCACCATCGTAGAATTCATTCTTCGGTTCGATAAGTTTGTCCTCATCGGCTTGTGAAACGCGCACATCGGGATCTGTTTCCTCCTTCATGCGCAGTTCCTCCAAGTCAATTGTGTCCGGTGGCGTTTGCACCATTTGTACGCTTGGTGAGTGTTGGCACATTTTCAAATTTTCATAAACATGCTTTACGATCATCTCTAAGTACTGCTTTGAATTTGCATTGTCCTGTCGTGAGTTTACATCGGGATGTAACGTAAAATCAGGAGCAAAGAAATCGTAATATTCCGTTACGGGTAAATCATTTGCTATTTCCTGATCCAAGAGCAGTGACGTTTCGTGTGTCCAACAGCGCGCCACATTACGTAATGTATACCCACCGCCACCAACGACTAATGTTGGAACGTTCAGACCTCTGACAAACTTTACACAGGCTCCATGGCCACGGGTACTCAGTGAAAAGCAGCCCAAACGATCGCCAGCCAGTGAATCTGCGCCACATTGTAGAACAATAGCAGTGGGTCGATAAAACTCCATAACCGCTGATATAATTGGTTTAAAAACCTGAAAGTAACTTTGATCATCTATGCCCTCCTTAAGCGGCACATTTACGCTATAATATCGTCCCGACTCGTTTCCTAGCTCATACATATCACCAGTGCCGGGAAAGAAATAGTTGCCATACTTATGAAACGAAACTGTCATCACTCGATCCGTCAAATAGAACGCTTCTTGCACGCCATCCCCATGGTGCACATCTATGTCAATGTAAAGCACACGGGGATGATATTTAAGCAGCTCCAATATGCCTATGACAATGTCGTTAACGTAACAAAACCCAGAAGCCTCAAATTTCTTAGCATGATGCAAGCCACCGGACCAATTAATGCAAATATCGCTGTGATTTTGATTTAGTTTTTGGGCTCCTTCTAAAGAAGCCCCAGTATACATGGAACAAAAATCGAAGAGGCCGTCAAAGACGGGACAATCTTCACCCACACTGAAATGTGCAAGATACTTTGTGTAGGCAACAGCTGAAAAAAAAATTGCAATTCATTGTCAATGATACTTGGCAGACTATGAGAAGGAACTTACAATTGCATTGTATGTTTTGTGGCGTCACTTGCTGTAGATAGGCGATGTATTCGTCACTATGAAAACGCAGCATATCCTGGGCACTAGCTCTGCAAGAACAATTTGTCTTATTGGAATACCAGCATATTGCTTAGCGTACTTACTTATAAGGTCTATAGATTTTCATCTTTTTGTGCAAGCCATAGTTCATCACGAGGCTGTGTGTGACAGCTAGACGTTGCGGCTTCATAGGATGTCCTGCGCCATAGTGGAAATTGCCGACATCCGCATTATAAAAATATGAAACACGTCGATCACTCATCTTCGCCAACTAGTCTAGTCGCTATCTAAAGCCACCCCAGGGAGCAAATAGGTTTTTGCATATAAAATAATGAGTAGCACGGCCACTATAAACAAAAGACGCCGCGTTGTGTCCAGCTCGCCTAATATCATGCCTTTAATTGCACTTCTGTATGTATGTATTCGCAATTAGCTTACGCGATTTTAATTTAAACATTGGTTACTTTATTTTATTGTATTGTAAGCAACTAACTCCGTTTTAAGCGGTATTTAACTTTTTCTGAGTCCATTTCTTTCGCGGTGCTGCCACAAGGGTGGCCATCTTGAATTTACGGCAGATACTTTAACAGCTGTTTAATGCCTATGTATGCGCACCATGTGAATGGCAGAATTCGGATCCGCTGTCGCGAATTTCATTCATAACCGTAGTAATCAACAATAAATGTCAGTGCCATAGCGAAATACAGGAACTGTGTCAAATATGTGTGGTCTTCAGTTAGAGAGGAAGAACCAACGGGTGCGATACTAGTGAGTGGAGGTGCTTGAAATCTAAGCGCCCAAACGCATTTGGTAGAACATGAAATTCGCAAAAACTTACGAAACCGCGAATTGATTTTATTTATCGCACCTAATATTTTTGTTTTTATATACACATGCGGGTAAATGTGTACAATTGGCATGGCATAATTAGTCGGACACGTTAAAGCTCATTAAACAACAAAAACATACTCCAAGCGCCACATCTCACCTATCCACTTTGAACAGCAACAATGTTGACACTCTATTACGTGAGCGCAACATTCCTGCAATCCTGGCGTATTCAGAAAGTTTGCAATAAAATTGCCGAGCAATTGGCCCAGCAAACGACTATTGCTTTCTATACGCTCCAAGCGGGTAGTGACGACGGCTTTGGTGAGTTAAAATCAGAATTTGCTACTAATTTGTATATAAACGGATGTACTTGTGTATGTATCCAACAGATCCTACATTTGCCAGTTCAGAGCTGTGCGGCAATCGCAATGCAGCCAAGGTCACTGATATATTGTGGTTGCATGGCAACCAGCGTGGTTGTTGTTTGCGTCCCCTGCAAACATTGCATATCACGCCATGGATAAGCTTTCCCGCTGCCCCAAGTTGGCTCCCATTTGCTTATGCCGCTGCCACGCCTCCAGTCACGCCAACGGGAAGCGAAGCACCAGCTCCTGGGTTTGTGGGGCATCGTCAGTCCAAGGTATCATTGTCGGTCGATGAGTCCCAACACTTAAATTTGTTATTGGAGGCGGAAGTGGAACCGCAACGCGGTGTCGATTTGCCGGAAACGGCACTAGTACGGGTGAGTACAGTTTTATAGTACGTTGTTGTGGCTCATAAAATAGCGTAAATGATGTTGCTGTCGTGGTTGTTTTTGGTATACATTTTAATGTGTTTTTATGGGTGCTGGCATGTGAAATTTATGCCTTGCCTTAACGAAGACAAATGAAGGTCCTACTTAGTTGTGCATATTCCTACATATTAATGCAGTGCAATATTAGTAAAGTTTAACGGACTAAATATTTTAAAATGAAATAATTATTGCCGAAGGGCATACACAGGTCGTTTTGCTCATAAATAGTTAGTCGTTCACATCGATAAAACGTTGGCGTCAGACATGCGTCATTTGTAAATGTAACAGTCGTACATGTACATACATACTTACATATTGTAGTATGTTTCATGTCTTACACCCGCCTCAGAAACTTGCACATTTCTCTATGCTACAAAATTTATCTTTGCTTCTACTGTACAAGTATGTTTTCTCTTTCTATTTGCATGTACACCCTGCCATCAATCGTAATAAAACCGGCGATGCAATGAATTTATGATAGCTTGAAGAATACGGTAAGCTTATTGCATGGAAAATAGACTCCCACCTGGCGGTGCTCATCGAGAGCGACGTTAAACATTTCACCAAATTGCTAATATCGACGTTCTTACGAAACAATTTATACATAAATGATCAGCTGCCCTTATTGAGGATTGAGTGTAAGCAGCTACATAAGCTCATTAAATACTTTCGAAAAATTAATATTTGTTTACCAAGAAACTTATTTTAAACCGTTCTCCGTCCTTTGTACAGCCGTGCAGCTAGAGGGCAAGCCACAGCCTTTTGAACTTTTGGCGAATCATCTGAAGCGCAGCACTCGCAATGCAGCAAACATAAGTGTGGAGGCTTGGCAGAAACATTTGGAGGATTTGAGAGCTCTCAGCGTTCTCGCACATCAGGCAAGAGAGTTTGAATCTCAAAAGAATCGCACGGAGGGTAAAACAGGCATCATAAAGCCCGATTTAATTGCCCATGAGCCACGACAAACGCAGCCACAGGTATCCAGCAAAGCCGTGGCAGTTGTAGAACCTACTGCGAAGGTTATTTCAACACCAATGGTTACGAAGACGCCCCCGAAAAAACAAGCGAATCCGACGGAAATAAAGAAACCATTGGCTGCAGAGGCCAGAACCAGCAAATTATCGGAGTCTGCTACTTCATCTACGAAGGCTACAACCTCCTCGTCTCCAACCAAACCTAGTGAGCTGGAAAAAATCGCAGCGGGCAAGGCAGTACATAACAAACAAACTCCAGTGCATGTGACTGTAACGGCACCGCCCATATCGAGCAGCAGCAGCCAAGTTGCTACAGCAACCGAGAGTACGCCTTCGAAGCCTTCAGTGACGTCCTCGGGCACACCAACACCCACATCGTCTAAAATAGGAACAACAACACCCAGCAAAACTTTCGTGGCCGTCAAGCCGAGTTCGCCACCACCGCCGGCCCCCGCACGCCCCATTCTACGCCGCAATAAGGATAGTCTCCGTGATAGTAAACCCCTTAACGTTTTAGTCTATTCCGATAGTGCCAGTGCACGTGAGTCGACGGTTGCCACACTTCGGGAGTTATTGGAAAGCGATGTATATACCATATACCCACTGACAACGCAACAGGTGGCACAAAAATATTGGCTGGAGCAGACTGCGCTGCTGGTGGTCTGTGGCGCTGTAGTACCGTCAATTGGTGAGATACTTGTGGACTACTTCTTACACGGTGGAAAATTGTTGTCACTGTGCTCCGATATATTGCACTTCATTCTGCCCAATTATCGTACCGCTGAGGTAAGTTTCCAATTTCTTGATAATATGTTTGTAGGTATGTATATATCTCTCTAATGTTCATTATTTTTACCACACTACATAATAGACCACTGTGGGTATTGTCACCCATTTTCGTTGTTTTTATTTGTAAGTACTCTGACTGCGGAAGTATGCTCTTTCCATAGCCAGGCTACATACTATTATGTGTACATGCAAAGGATCCATTAATATAGTGCATGGTATGTGGTTGCCTTTAAATGGAATGTTTGGTAAACATTCCAATGAATCTTCAAATTCTAAACATCCGCTAAAAAGTTATTTCACTAAAAAAAATATAGCGTTCTTAAAATAATTTGTTCTTTTTTAGTCTTAGTCTTAAAAACAACCTTATGAATGTCTTTTTTGGTAGAGAGGGAGAAAAATGTTTGAAAAGTCAAATATATTTATTTATATTTATGGCAACAAACAAAGACTGCCGACATAGGAAATAAATGTGAAACATTAATTAAATGCGCATTAAGAGCATTCTGAAGATATCCATAGTCCACTTTAGATTAACCTTTTAATTTAATTCCGTTTGGCTAGGTGCGTGAACATGAACTCGTACAGTTCTCCTATGACAAGTGGCAAAAGGTAAAGATGATGCATCATATCTTTTGCTATCAGCCATCGCCGGTCAAAAAACATTTCTCCACGGATAGTGAGGAGTCTACACATGGCCATTCCCGTAAACCGTAAGTAGTTGTGCCTTTAGTTCTTAGCTTACAATAATAACACAAACACAACAATGGAATGCTAACGTTGTAAGGGCCCAACTCTTAACATAGAACCGCTTTATATAGGTAAAAACTGGTGAATGAAAAAGGCAAAAATGGGTTTTTAAAACCAAATTCGCAGTCGTGTGGCATTAGGTCGAGGAAAAAAAAAAACGGCCCGTACCCATCTCTAGCCCTGTACTCGCTTTTAAAAAGGAAATAGCAGTATAATTAATTAATACAAATAGTGTGAGTGCTGTACAGACCAAAGCCGTATAACATGAACGGCAATTTTGTAAAGCATATGCAACTTGACCTGGGAATAAATATGGAATAAAAAGATACAACAAATTTAAAAAATTTCGGGAGCTGAAGAAGCACTAATAGGGAAGGTTGTCGCATAGAAAAAGAACAAGAAAGGAATGCTAAAGTCGAGCGGTCTTAACTTTTAAATACCTTGTACCACCCCACAAAAAAAAAAGAAAAAATTATTTTTAAAAATGTAATTCATTAATTTAATAAAATATAATATACTATATTTAACACATGCATACAGACATAAGTGTTTACGTAAAATTTCAACTGCATACACTTACTTCAGAATCGTGTCTATGCATGATTGTATGCGGTAAAGAAATAAGCCAAAGCAGCAACAGCTCTCGGCAGAGATTTTGTTAATGGCTATAACTTTCTTCATAATTGACCTATTATGATGAAACTTGACACACAGACACATAATCACTATATGGATGTATTTGCCAAATCTGACTACAAAATTCCAAAAATACGGGAATTACGGGAATTATGGAAAAACACGAATTGCGGGGAGTGTGGGGTGAATCAGAAAAAAAAACAATCTCGTCTTTTCTCGGACTTAGGAGAGCTCTTATACTTTCTGAGATCCTTGCGTTCATACAGACGGACGGACAGACAGACGGACATTGCTATAACGACTCGGCTTGTCACCCTGATCAATAATATATGTGGGGTCTGCCTCCTTCTGCCTGAGCCATACATTCACACAAAACTAGGTCCCTTTCACCATTTGGGTACAGGCTATAAAAACGGAAACTTTGCCAATCTCTCCGACTTGGGAGAGGTTGGTGATTAATCACTACGTTCATATGGAGGACGGACATGGGTATAGCGACTTGTCTTTTCATACTGTTCAAGAGTATACATATATACATACATACTTTGTGGGATACTTAGTTCTTCGAGGCACGTTACATTTTAAAATCTCCAATAAACAACCTTATCGAACTCATTTATATAACTGCATGATTTTAATTTTTCAATCTGAATTCGCCTATTTGCAAAGTTAAAATTGACCGAAAACTGTTGGCCATCTTAATTTAGCAAATGCAATATTTCCATTTTAAACTATCTCATTGAAAAAAGGACCTTTAATCTAATAATTTCGTTATTAAATATAGAAATATTTATACTTGTATGTATCTATTATAAACAACTTAAAACTAATTCCAATTTCCGTTATATGTGTTTCCTTACCGCTTCAATTTTAAATTGGCTTAAATTTTCAAACTTCTTTGCAATCTTTCGATGAAAAACTTCATGCTCATATTATTGCAATTATGTTACAAAATGTTATGTATATTTGAAATGTTAAATTTATTACTAAAAATACCTGCACTGTGTGAGAATTAATTCATGCATAACTGATCGAAATAATTAAAATCTTTTTAACTTTTATTAATTTATTTGTTCTCAATTTGAATATTCCTTATCATTTATTGGCTTGGCTGCGTGCTAATTTTTATATTTCGTTTTACTCTACTTTTGAGGTTTGTTTCTTTATCCTGTGCCCGTTCTTTCTGTTTTCTATTTTCTATCTGTGTGCTTGTGTGTGTATGTGTGTAATCACTACTACTATTCCACTACCATTACCAAAAAACATAACAAAAATAAAAACAAACAAAAAAAAAAAACAAAAACAAAATCGAAACGCCGCTTAGAGCTCTAGTATGTCCAAGGTCCATGGAACTGAAAGATCTGACTGGCCAACCTTATAAATTGGACGTTCAGGTGCTAGGCACTGAGGAAACTTGGAATACGCCAAGTCTATTGCTGGCCAATAGTTTGCAAAGTGGCGGCAAGGCGGTTTTCTCGCAGGTACTGAAGAGCCGTGATCTTACAAATTTAACTTCAACATTAAATACTTTTTTGTAATCTTCTTCACAGGTGCATTTGGAAACAAATCCCAGCGAATTTGAAACCGATGAAATTAAATTTTCTATATTAAAACAAAACGAACGCACACGACTTGAAATCTTTGCGGATCTCTTGCGAAAATATCTCGATGTGCAGGTGCGTGCCAATGAGGGACAGGCCCCATCAACATCATCCGGTGTGGTCTATAAGCATGCCTACTTTTTGGGACGCCATGAGGTACGTACTCTACTCATGTACTCCCTCTAAATATGTATATTGATTGACTGTGTGATGGAGGGACTAATCGGTAAGCAATGCATCAAACCGAAATTATTGGTGAGTGGAGCCTAGGTATTTTCCAAAAATCAGCGCATAGGGCAGCTGACTTAAAAAAGCTTTTCAATTTATACATTTTATAATTAGTTTTGAAGAAGTGTACCTAGGTGCTTAAGGAACAAACATAGTAAGCGCTGAGACGATTTGTTTGCGTTGCGAGCAAGCTGACAAAGTGTTCATAGTGAAAGACGAATTTGATGCGTATTTATTTTATTTTACTTGTTCGTCCAGCCAATGCAAGATCAATGACGAAAATCAAATGCGTATAATTTTTGTAATAGTACTGGATGAAACATCGATATAACATCAATATATGTCTGCCACTGAATTTTTATTTTTATATGTTATACTTTCTTTGGTTTTTGTTATATTCTTTCAATTTGTGAAAATATCGTTTGTTTTGAAACATTTTGTATTTAATAGAAACCATTAGCTTTATAAATAAGATGAGAAATCAAAATGTAGTGCCCTATGTATAGGCATCAATAAAATCTTTTTGAAAATTCGTTAGCAGAGGCTCGACGCATCTATAAAACGATGTTCTTCCCCCTAGATCTGCAAAAAAATCGATGCACAATCGATTTAAGCGACATTAACATTATTTCTAAACATAGATTTCGTTGAGAATCGATTAATCGTGTAAATTTAAATGCACGCATTTACTTGACGGTGACGTTGAACGGCTGGTAAAGGTATGCAAAATTAATATTATTTAAGATTAGGTTAGTATGTTGGCTGAATTGTGGTACATACTATATGTATACGTATATTTTAGGAGTATCTCTAGACATGGATCACTTTAATAATTTATTTCAGCATGCTCGACTACTTCTGGGCGCATGTTTTGTAATGCAGGATAGTAGATGAATTACTATTTACGAACAAAAATTAATTGATAAATAATTAGTGACCCCGCAGAAATTGATCTCATTAAAAGGAAAAACAAATTAATTTTTGCTATGTTAAAGATTAATCTATTTTATTTTTGAAATAATCGCGATTAATCGAAGAGGATCGATGCTGTCAACATCGATTATTTTGCAGATCTACTTCCCCAACGACATCGAAACATCTGTTTTTCCAGCTCTATTAGGAAAATGACAACGAAGGGCAAGCGATTCGTCTTCAAAATCAATACCGGACGATTTGAAATCTGACAGCTTTAGCTTCGTCTTCAACTTCCTATTTGCATGAACTATGAACACTTTCGAGTGAATTCATATGTTTCCTTGTGTACAGCTTGTCGTCTTCAGCTTTGACTTCGGCTTCGCTCAGGGCGTACCCTAAGTCTCATAAAGTTTTCATTTATTGTGCGAAGCCATCAAACGAATATATACCTGTTCTAAAAAGTTGGTTTTTGTTTTTATTTTCATTAAGATGGGTATATCATTTTTCTTTCCTAATTTATTTCAGTCTAAGTTTGAGCTTCTGGAAAAATTGCGTCCCCGCTGCAGCGGTAACGATAATATAATAGCCACACCGAAACTAACGATGAAATTCTGCGGTAAAGATGATGCCGCGCCTATTGCCAATAATAATGTGCTACCCATACTCATACATTCCTGTCCAGACGATTTCTCCACGGTGGAATATTTTGATGTAGGTAGAAAGGTTTTCAATTTAATTTGGTCATTTCTCAGGATTTTCCAATTGATTGCAGCATCTGAAAACGGAGCAAATTGGTCGTTTGGTTATCTATGCACCGATTATTAGCAGCTCCATGCATGTCATTAGCGATTTGGAGTTAATGCACGGCATTGCAGTCCTGCCAATGCAACAGACCGCTGGGATGGGCCGTAGCAATAATCAGGTGAGTGTTGGAAATATGCGGGATTGATGACTAACTTATAATGGCATATATATATATTTATTTGTAGTGGCTTAGTCCTTTGGGTTGTGCAATGTTTTCCATACAGTTACACATCTCGATGGATTCGCCATTGGGCTCGCGCTTGCCCTTAATCCAGCATATTGTGGGAGTTGCGATTGTGAACACACTACGTAGCCATCAACTATATAAGGTAAGTGACCTTTGTGTACGGATTCAGAAAGTGGTATTTAAATTCTGAGAATGTACAAAATATATGCATGTAAGCAATATAACGTGGCGGAAAGAATCATTAGTGGGCATATCGAAAAGTATTTGGTATACATACTATACTATATTTAATTTGTTTCTGCAATTCCAAAATATTTAATTTTCCTGAATTATGTATGGAATAAGATAGGTTATTGGTCAGAAATTACACACTCACACACTTCCGAATATGTAATTAGCAATGTGGGACTAAGAGTTTTTTAAATCCATAAAGTATTTTTTATTGGAAAGCTCTTGAATACTAAAAACTATTTGAATAAAAAAGTTGGTTACGATTTTTATATCCTTCACTGAAAAGTGTTATATATTAATTTGTTTGCGAATCGGTAAATCCACTTTACATTCCTAGCATTAATACTTGTAGCTTTCGGGAATCATTTGGACTTATATATCCTGGTCCTGTTTATAGGTCCTCGATAGCGTATTTTTTCATTGAGTCCAAGTTATAAGAAAACAGCGTGCGGTTTATTTCTTCAGAATTTTATTTTGGTTTTAGGAACACAAAATTTGACCAGTCCCAACTTTCTTTGAAATAATGTTTGGTAAAATATTGCATTTCGAATTAAACAGGAATTTGGTTTAAGTGATATTTTATTTGACATTTTATCCTTCTCTATATACGCTTCACAATACATTATGTATATATTAGATGCATATTCTTTCAAATACATATTTATATATATATGGATAGAGCTTTGCTTACACATAATTAACAATTTTAAAATTGCTCACCTGATTTACGTTTACGTTTAGAGTTGCCACAGTGCTTGCTTTTAAATAACTATGTTTTACTCTTTCTTCGTAATTTGCATTTTCAATATAATATTTTAATTTAACATTTAAACGTTGTCTTTTAGAAAGTTAACATTTGTTTTTTGTGTTCGTTTGTTTCATACAATTTCCTTTTAGCTTGCATATTGAATACATTAAAGTTTAAAATCTCTTTTAGAACATACTACATGCATACACTCAGTTGCTATAATTGTTGAATTTACTTTCATATGTATCCTGTATATAATAAGTAAGTAGTTTATGTATTTACAATTTTATTGTTCTTAATTATTTTTTTTAACACATGCACATTTGAACTTTGCTTTGAGAGTCGTAGTTGTTCAGGAAGTGGCCACAGAGTCAGAGAGTCAGCAGAGTGCGTGACCTTTGCCATTTTGACAGTGTTTTGACATTTACACGTACAACGATTAAGTTACATATGTATGTATACAAGCAGTACTTAGATTTAAAACAAACATTATTATAGAATTGTACTAGGATTACTAACAATGGTTGCTTACAATGAATTACTGTATGTGCTGCTAATTTCTCGGGGCATCTCGGAACACCGAATTAGTACCAAACTGTTGTAAGCAACTCAAAATACGGACTCTGCCGAACGAGACAGATTTACAGGATGCGAGGGACTGCGTGCCAAACGTTTCTTTGGCAAGTGCTCTAGAAGTGTGAGTAGTTTTGCGAATTCCGGTCTATTCTTCTTGTCAAAGGTCCAGCACAGCATTAATAAATCCTTGACATCACGACCCGATTGCAAATTGGCCAACGATTGTTTCATGCCACGTCCCACTTGCCATATAATCGATTCTGCCGGCTGATCCTTGAAAGTAAACTCTCCACATATCAGCTCGTACCACACAGTGCCGAATGAATAGACGTCCGAAGCGGTTGTAAATTCCAAACATTCGCCAGTCGGCTTACGGGGCATTAGTTTTCTTATTAGCTCCGGTGCCAAATAGCACAACCAATTGTGTGGTATTCCTAACCCTATATCACAGTACAGTAACTTCGTCGAGCTGAACAGCCCAAAATCAGTGATGATCACTTTGCCATTCTCGAGGAAAATGTTCTTCGTACGCAGATCCTTATGTATAATGTCGCGGGCATGTAAATAGCCCATGCCCTGTGCTATCTGTTGGGCAATTAGGAGTGTTCGATTCATTGCGAATTTCTCGCGACGCTGATGGATATATGTGTATAGGGTGTTACCCTTGCACAGTGACGTCACAATCGCTAAGTACGGGGGATTCATGCAAGCGCCCATAAATAATACCAGATTCTCATGCCGTGTCTTCTTGAAATTGGCAACCTCGTTCTTGAAAGTTTCCAGCATATGCTCATCTTGCAGATAGTCCTCATTGAGCAGCTTAACAGCCACATCACCGTGCCAGAGCGCCCGATGTACGGTGCCAAATCGTCCTTGACCGATTTGCTCAAGTAGCCGTAAATCGCCATAGGGTATATCCCATTCTTTTAGTGATATTGAATTCTGCCGCCATTGACCTGAGTCACCATCCTCGGTGGAATCCAAGCGTACGGGTGTGCGATCTGAATCTGTGCTGGCGCTGCCCGATAACGATACCGTCTTGTCGCTATCGTTAGATTTGTGTGTGTCCGTATATTCGCTCGTGAAAGGCGTACGTTTATCCACACCAGCAGTGCTCAGTTTGCGTGGGAAGAACTTGCTGGTGCCCGTATTGGCAATGCTGGCTGTGTAGGAGGTGGTTGTAGTGATGCTCGAGGATACACTCGACTGGTTAGACATTTGACTACTGGTTATCGCATTAATGTGGTTGTGGTTGCTACTGTTGCTGCTGATACTGACGTTGTTGTTGTTGCCATTGCTGGAGGACATTGTAATACCACTATCCACTGACTCCGACGGCTCATTTGAGAGTAATGTTAGCGTACTAACGCCTCCTGTTTCACCCGCATTGCTGGCTGCATTTGCGCCGGAACTTGTAATCGTCACGTTAGGGAAATTAAATTGACTCTGTTGATGTTTATGCTGATAGGCGGAGGGTGTGGGCAACAAATTGGCACTGGAGCTGCTGCCGCCAGCTGAGGAGCCGCCGTAGCTGCCTGCATGCTGCAGTTGATGTTGTTGTTGTTGCTGCTGGTGGTGGTTAAAGAGGGCTGGACTGCTCGGAGTGGAACTGGTGCAACTAGAACTGGGTGAACTGCTGTCACCGTGTTGCTGCAATGGTTTGCCCAACATGCTCCGATAGTTCGCCAGTGGCGATCCCTTGCTATGTGAGTTGTGGGTGTTAGTGTGCGGTAACGTAGAAAATCCGACTTGCTCCTTGATATGCCGAAACTCATCAACATATTCGCGCGGCAGTCCACATGAGGGCGGCACGTGAGGCTCACAGCCCTTGTGGCATAAATACTTGCAGTCGGTGCACTTGAGGCAACGACTAAAGACCTGTTTCTGGCATAAATTGCATGTGGAAATAAATCCGATGGCTTTGGTAAAACGATGCTTGATGGCGTGACCCATGCCTACATGTCCAACGCCTGGGGAACAGGGCACCATTAGGACACTGGTGAGGATGGCAGTGGCATTCGGATCGACTAAAATATCTGAGCTGGCGGAGCTATGACTATCCGGACTAGGATCTGTTGGAAGCCGACTACGTGGCAATGTGTTGTTCTCAGTATTTACTGAGACATTGTAGTCAGGATTGAGTGCAGCTACATGAGTGGGTGTCGCATTATGTGTAAACAGTGTTTGATGCTTCTTGGCGGGTGGAGGTGTACCAACCACTGCTACTCCTGCCGCTTTACTCCGCTGCGGAGTGCCATTTAAGCTGCTCATGCCTCCACTTGAGGGTGTAAATGGTGAATTCGGCGGTGAGGGTGTTAGGGTCAAGGTTAATTGAGAGCCTTGCATGCTCATATCTTCTGTACGTGATTGTTGCTCACTCATAGTTGTTGGCGATTGCCGGCCACTTCGACTCGTTGTTGATGCATTTACCACTGTTGTTGAGGTATTGGTAGAATTACTGCCAGTTTTGGGTTTCTGACCATGCTGTCGATGGTGCGCCCTTGGTGATGCAGTGCTCAGTCCAATATTGCCAATGCTTCCCCGATGAACGTGATGTGGTCGATCCCAGGAATCCCAATGCCATTGTTCCATATCACTGGCAGTGGCCCCCGATCCGTTCTCAAGCGTTTCCATGCATTTGCGCAGATTTTGCATGGCTTTGGTCAGTCGGCGCAATTCCTCATCCCGATAGTTGGGATTCTGTGAGAGCAGTTGCTTCAGCTCCTCATCGTTTTGAGTGAGCAATTGCTCCAACGTCGACAGATGCTCCGCACATGCATTGAGCGACTCCTGGCTGAGCCCCACGACGCGGAGCCATTGCTTTAGGTCATTGCCCGTTGTGTGGGGCAGTAGACCATTAGCTGGGATGCGTTCATTTAGACGCAACTTGGCGAGTAACAACTCGGAAAAATAGCGCACCAGTTTAGATTCCAGAGCACGTATCTCCTGCTGCGTTAATGTAGCGCTTGTGGCACACTGAGTGCGCAAACCCTCCAAATGGTTGGCCGAAAGATCAATCATATCCTGTATGATGACGAGGTTACTCTCCGACAAAGTCGACGATGTTGTCGTCACCATCGCGGATTCTGACGACGATGCGTTGCGCTGTTGTTGCTCCATTTCGGCACGCATTCTCTGATGTTGGTTTGGGGTATGGGTACTGATTCAACCTACCCGAAGCTGTGCCTCCTTGTGCACATATGTACATACACACGCACACGCCCGCACGCACTCAAGACAACATTGGGTCACAATTTTTTGCAATACGGTTTTTTTTCTGTGTGATTTTTTTTATAGGCAGACAAACGGCTGCTGCTGCTTCTACTTCACGCACACACTTGAAAATTCTCTATACTCAAGTACAAGATTTCATGCACATTGGTACGCGACGCCCGAAGACAGTTGATGTGCTTCATGAGTAATGCGTGGGCGTTTTAATTTAGTTTTGCACTATGTATCAACTTTTTCAACCGTATGTATGTATACACGCATGTTTATTTGTTAATTCCGCATATATTCGTGTCCACAGTCCGAAGAGCTGCAAAACAATCGATGGCACAGTCGCTGTGCTATGCTATGTTGTTATCGATAGCTAATGCATATTATTAATCGGTGCCCGCTATTTCAGGTACTCGATATAGCTTTGAAATGGCCAAATGATGTGTATGCGCATGGAAGTAACAAAATTGGTGGACTTGTGGTCAATACGAAGATATTGGGGTCGGAGGCAATTGTAAATATTGGCAGCGGCATAAACCTAAATAACTCCAAGCCCACAGTTTGCATCAATGATATGATAACTGAACACAATTCTCGTACGTCAGGAGGAAAGTTGCCACTACTGAAGCATGAACAGTTTATTGCCTTGATTTTCAATGAAATCGAAAGACTTGTTGCCGAAGTACAAAATGAGGATTTTGATATGTTCTACGAGCTGTATTACAAACTCTGGTTGCACAGGTAAATTTAACACACTTAATCTAAATTTAAAAAAAATTAAGCTAACTATGTATTATTCTTAAAGCGAACAAACAGTTACTATATGCACACAAAACCAGCAAGAACAAGCTGCTAAAATTATTGGCATCGACAACTACGGATACTTAAAGGTACAACTAACTAATGGTACCATCGAAACTGTACAGCCGGATGGCAACAGCTTTGATATGTTAAAGGGATTAATAGTACCTAAATACAATTAGCTAGACAACATGGTAATGGAATTTTCATAGCATTGCGAACTTATTCCTTAATAAATATATACCTTTACATATATAATCGAATTATAATAAATTTGTATTTTTAGGCGCATTTAGATACATTTATAACAACATACATACATACATTTACTATTTACAATTGGGGAAGTGTTTCACTTAAAGTGATGTTTTTGACTTGATGAAAACATATATTAGTCCAAGATTAATTGTGTATTTACTCCTATTTAGTTTAATAATACACTGCCAATGCTAGTCTTTGGTATTTTTAGTAAATATTTCGAAATATTTCAATGTTTAACTAATAATACTTACCAGTAACAAGTTTGTATCTTACCAAAAAGTTATTTCCCATGGATGTCATAAATACCAATATATTAATCCATAATCGTAATCTGTTATAAACCAAAGTTAATTGTAACCATTTCAATTATATATGAATGTTTTTCGAAAATGGAATTAAATAAAACAAAGTAATTTTGACTGTTCTATTTATTGCTTTTTTTTTACATTCGGCGCATAGAGGATTGAGTTATCATGACTAATGGAGTTATAAAACTAAAAGGTGCACCGAAATATTGATTAGCGACTATTTTGCGACATTTGCGCTAGGTAACAAAATCTTGCCCATAGCTATTATTTCTTTCGCAGGCTATTTAAAACAATAGCATTAAGGCCAGTAAATGTATTACTCTGATCAAACTTACATAAAGTTGCACATATATATAGTAAATTAAATTAAAATGTGTAAGTATGTATATTATTCTTATTATCCACTTATTACTTTTCTCTGGTATTTTGCCTAAATTAGTTTAAAAACGTAATATTAACTAACAGATAAACAACGCTTTGATTTCGAAATCGCTCTTATACATATACCATATTCGAATAAGCTAAAAGGCTTATCTGTTCTAATAAAACCATTGCGCGTACATTGGTGGCTAAATTATGGCAAATTGGAATTTAAGGTGTAATAACAGTTACAAAAAAACAGAAGGCTAGACTATGTGACTTTGCGGTACTCGTGACAAAGCGATTACCCACCCCTAATTTGTCGCTTTTTCATTCTTCATTTATATACATGGAGTTCTATACATTTGCTAACGAATTTTCTTCAATTAACTACTAAGTAATCTTCATGCCGTAAAATGTTAATTTTAATTTAATCAATTAATTACTTTAGAGTTCAAAATATTAACATTGGCTAGTAGTTGTGCAGAAAACAGGCAAAGAACTGAAAAACTTTTATGTAAGCACAATCGACTGGAAAAAATTGAACTCCGCTCTCGAAAACCTAAGCAATTGCTTTAAAACATGGCACAACGTAATCAACGTGTTGATCGCTTTGCGCAAATGACTAAACAAGAGGAAATTATAGCAAAAAAGCGACAGGAGATCCTCGAAAAACAGCGCACAGCGCAACTGGCAAAGGCTGTGGCAGCTGCCCAAACACACGCCCAAACATTAGCAGCTAGCGCGAAGCCGAAGGAATCGGAGGAACAGGAAGAACCTGTGGTTCCTGCTCCCACAATCGAAGATAGCGCATCGGAATTGGATAATAGCGATGCAGCTTCGAAGGCAAAGGGCGATGAAACGCCTAAGACCCTGAACAGTTTTAATAGCAAAACAGGGAAAATAACATTTGGATTGAAACGCCAACAGTTGCCCCAACCCAGTGTAGAACAACCACCGCCCAAGGTGATGAATACCTTTTGTAACGATGGATCATTTTTAGAGAACTTTAAAAAGATACTTGAAAAGCATGAGCAACCAAAGCCACCAATTATTGTAGCACCCGTGCCTGTGCCCAGGTAAATATTAAAAGGACATCGAAAAGAACAAATGTATCATAATTTTGTTTTGTATTTTTATAACAGTATGGATGAGAGCAACAACATAACGGATACTCAAGGATCTGATAATAACAGCCCCAAGCTTGAATTATCAGGTCCTGCTCCAACAACCCTACCTGTTGTTACATCAATAGCTTCAGTGGTCACAACATCTGCACCGAATCACCTGGCATTTAGCATGCCTGCAACGGCGATGCCACCATCAGTGCAACCGCCGCCACCACCCCCACCATTTGCATTTAATCCAGCGCTATTGCCCCAGGGACCGCCACAGCTGCAGCTGCCGGCATTCTTTCATGGTCATTTGCCAATGCAATTGCACCCGGCTGCAGTAGCCCCTCCACCACCACCGCCGCCACCCCAGCTTCCCTTAGCTTTGGCCAGTCTAACCCCAATTTATATGCAGTTGGGTCCACCGCCGCCAGAACCTATTCAAATGAATGCAATACCGGCACCAAAGGATTTTGATTTGGCGTCAATACCAAAGCCTCAGATGAATCTAGAAGCCATACAAATGCCCACTGTGGGTCAGTCAGACCAATTAAATGTGACGGCCACACCGCCGCCGCCACCGCCCCCCCTGCAACAGGAGCAGCATCCACATCAACAACAGCTTCAGCATCAGCAGCAACAACAGCATCAGCAACATCAACAACTTCAACAGCAGCAACAGCAACACTCAACGCCTCCGCCTCAAGGTGTGTAAAATTTGTGGACAATTTTTGTTGTCTGTTCTGTTCTGCCATTTGTCATGCAAGTGACATTGTTCCAAAAATATCCCCACTCCCACAAATATAATATATTATTTAACAAATCGTTGAGCACGATTTTAAAGCAATTTATGTAGTTTTTTCAGAAACGTATCTCAATGACATTGAACGCAGCAATTGCATTAAATTGCCAACCTGTATAGAAAACCTAATCGCACTGGTCGCCGAAAATGGTGAAGATTATGAAGATAAAATACGTTTGCATAGAAGCGAGTTGCATCCGGCTTTGTGGTAAATTGGTTTAGTTATTGTTCTTTTGAGTGAAATATTTAGCGGTTACATTAGACATTGAACAGTTGACTTATTAGTATGGACGGAACGTTTTGTTTAATAGTATTTATAGCGGGGCATCACCTCTTAAATGAATTTGGAGGCACGAAGATTTCATTCACTTATATAGAACTGTAGATTTCGGTAAGGGTATGCTCGGAAACTTCTCAAACCTAGATTCATACAAATTGAGTGCCTCTTTTGTAAGTAACATTTAAGAAACAGCAAAGTGATCTTAAAAATATAATTAAATATGGTTTGATTTTTGCTTAACTTATAAATTAATGGGGCTTGAAAATACGTTCCATTTTGGGAACTGTGTATAAAAATTGAAGTAAGAAATTCATAAAACTTCCATGATTTTTAAACTATTAATAAAAAAAACATTTTTTTTTTAAATTTTGTAAGGCCTCATTTTGGAAAATCATTGTAAATGATTGCAGCTTTTACTTTTTCTGATGCTTATAGGGTTTGGTTCCTAGGTTGTTAGGAGGTTTAGCTTACCACTTGCTTACAAACGCGTCTCTGCTTCGCACACATTGGCCCGACCACAAGCCGTCTTCTTCTGGAGCAAGCTGCCGGATTGATGAGCTGCGAACTTCTTTAACCAAAACAAACAAAAATGCACTAAATGGGCGCCAAAAGTTAATCATATAATCTTTGTATTTAATTTAACGCATTTGAGCACTTTTCATTGTATCCTTTACTTTTTTTGAACTTTTAACATAGGTTTCTTTATGATAAGAACTGCGAACAATATCGAAACTATCGCGGCCAATTGCTTGATTATGAACGTCAGCGAGCCCAGCGAAAACAACAGCAACAACAACAGCAGCAGGAGCAACATCAACAACAGCTAAGCAATCCACAAGCATTGGCCAAAGAGCAGGATAATCCACGAGACCAAGACGAGCATAACAGCAACTCAGCAGCAGATAAATACGATCCCGAATCGGCCATAAGTGCTGACTTCGATTCAGATGATGAGTATATGCGAGGTATGATGGATCGCAATCGGGACAATATAAAGCGGCGCATCGAATGCCGCAACGAGCTAAGTGACGAGGAGCGTCGAGAACGAGAGGAAGCTGGTGCTGGTGCAGATGCCGATGACTATGAGGAGACGCAAAGGCAGCGACGAAAGCGGGAGCGTAAAAGCCGTTGGGGTGAAAAGGAGCAGTCCGCTTCTAGTGAGTAACCCTCCTTAAACTTTCGTTTTCGCTCAAATTTATGTTATCCACTCTCTTTTTAGGCACGTCTGGCAATTTCGCAAATCAAAACAAGCCCATGCTTTCAGTTATAACGCGCAATGATCCCGCGCTATTACAATATGCGCGTCTCAACTATGGGTCCACACAGCTTTCCGAAGAGCAGTGGAAACAGTGTGAGGAACACTATAAGGTAAACTTGCTGTATCAGGACATGATGCGCAAGCGGCAAGAGATCGATCGTTTGGCCCGTACTGGCAAATTTAAATACGAGTACGATTCCGATGAAGATGTGGAGGGTGGCACATGGGAGCATAAATTACGCACAGCTGAAATGGAAGCCACACATTTGTGGGCTAATGCGCTCACAAAACAAAGTGAGGGGAAACATCATATTGGTGATTTCTTGCCACCTGAGGAATTGAAGAAATTTATGGAGCAATACGAAGCCAAAAAAAATAATAGGCAACCAGACCTAAGCGATTATAAGGAATATAAACTTAAGGAAGATAATATTGGTTTTCAAATGCTGCAAAAGTTGGGCTGGAAGGAGGGGCAGGGCTTAGGACAGGACGGTGCTGGTATTGTGGACCCAGTGAACAAGTAAGTGAACTTATTTATTCGTTAATAAAAGTAGAGTTTTTACAACCATTTTTATTGTTGTCTTTCAGAGCACCCCAGCGCGATGGCAATCAGGGGTTGGGTGTTAATAGCGCTGCACAGCCAGAAGACTGCGACAATGAGTATGATGCGTATCGGAAACGGATGATGCTGGCTTATCGTTTTCGCCCCAATCCGCTGGTAAGTCATCGATCGAAAAATGTCGGAAAAGAATCAAAGATTTTACAGTCTTCCGAAAGCAATTCTTGCATAACACATTTATCAGTTCCTAGAAGGGTTTGGATTTTGTGGACCCTCCAATTAATAATTCTACCCTCCACGGAAAAGGGAATAAGTATATGCAGAGGAAACGATATAGCAATGTCAGCACTTCTTTAGTTTGAATCCTAAAGCATTGCAATAATGTTGTATGCAGAAAAAATGCTTACGATATGATTAAGAAATACAATTATTTTTATTTATTTTGATGACGTTGTCTTTATATATGACGCTGACTGCGGGTGGTTGTAGGGTATATACCTTTCCGATTTCACCATTTTACTCTTTAATTATCTTTTCAGAATAATCCACGACGCGCCTACTATTAGATTTTGTTTCCCTCTTGTTCTGTATCTTAATCAATGTATCTTCGCACTGACCTCCAGGATGGATTCATAGTCTTCAACTTTATATTCAGTTTGCATTGGCTTGCTATATTATCCTGTGCACTTAATTTATCAATTTCTACTTGCATGTAAAATACTGTTCAATGAGATCACTGAAGTTTTTGAATATACGAAAAAATGTTCATGCTCTTTTTTTAATATATGAATTAATGGATACATACAAATATGTATATTATATTATATATAGGTATGTAATTTAACTTATGTCTATCTGTATAAAATAGGTCTAATACTATCATAAATGGGGAGGCGTCTATATAAAAGTGTAAAGTTTGCTCAAGCATAGGGATGGCTTTTTTATACACTCACATTGGAACATTTTTAGAATTCCTAAACGCTAAAATACTAATTGTACTCAACTGGAAACTTGGGCTTAATCTAGGAATATAATGTTAGGACTGGTGTTTGGTTGCCGCGCGCCAACGCTACTGGACATTTGATATCCGAGGTGAGCATCTCCAGCCAGGACATGTACAATGGCGCTGAAATGGCCTCCTACGAAATAAGAAGAAATGTTGGATTAAGTCTTTCGCTGCTGCAAAGGAGCACTTTGGAGCACCGACCTTTCGCGGCATGGGTAGTGACATGACCACAAGCGTTGCGTTCGACGAATGTTGGACGACGAGTTCGTGAATGCGCAGTTGACGGTGCGTCTTCTCTGCCATATTGTTGAGCTCCTCATCGGTAATGCCAAACTCGTTACGCGGGCTTCGACGGAAGGGTTCAATGAGTCGTTTGTGCTTTAGGATGGTGTCGGGACGTGGTTGCTCGCAAACGCCCTTAAGCATAATGAGTTCGGAGTATTTGATGCGGAATTTAGTCAATAGGCTGGCCATACTGCAAGAAACTAGGTTAGGAAATTGAAGTCGCTAAAGGATGTTTGGTGTGTGTACCTCTTTTCCTCTTGATCCTCATCCTTGCCATGGCACATGGCAAACACTCGCAGCTTGGAGTTGGCCCAATGACTGCGCATGGAGATGATGTAGGGCAACAATATGGTGAGACCTTTATTTCGAAAAACATTTTATGTTAAAGTACGTGCGATTAGGAAGTTGTTCGAGCTATTTACCGCCGTCGTCGTACAGCCAGAAGACATCAATGGTGCCCTTGGGTTGTTTTCTTGTAAAAATTGTCATTGCATTCACAATATCCGGCGGCAGCTCCGAGCCACCCTTTGTGTGATAGAGGACAGGCTCCGGTTCTGGTTCGGGCTCTGGCATGGGTATATTGGTGCCACTCAGCTTGTAACTTCGAGAGTTACGATTTACATTTGGCAATGGCGCCGGCTGTGCTGCATTATACGAGAGATTGGTGCTATCCATGCTGGCCAGATTCAAATTTGAGTCTATATGGAGCAGCTCCGAGGCGGCATTTGCGGCCGGTATTAGTTCGTTGGTGATGCCTTGCTTATTGGTGCCATTGATCGGTGCCTTCAAGTCGTGCCTGAGCTCAGAGAAGTCTAGTCCGTTGGTTAAGCGCAGTACGCAAACGCCCATGCGTTGTGAGAAGGCATTGCTGCGAAAAGTGATGAAATGTTTGAAATATTACGTGAGTCTATTTTGGAAGTCGATTAAACAATTTTAAAATTCTCTTCTGCTCCGGTGAATAGAGAAGTCTGTTGCTTTATACTATTAGCTAGCGACGAAATAAAAAATATTTGGGTAGATATTACACTTTTTTAAGAGAATGTAAAAATATAGAATTGAGACAATACTGAATATAGTAATAATTAGGGGAGCTTTAAATTGAAGAACATCTACTAATTGCAAGAAAATGGACCTTTTAGCTGTACTTACTATAAAATGTCAAAGTAACTCTCCACTTCCTCTTTGTGACAGTGACTCCAGTCCGGCTTGTAACCCACGAGAACAATATTTGGTGCCATTTTTCCAAAGCCGGTGGTCTTGATTAGGGCACTGATGCCATCCTCAACGCTAAAGCCATCAATTATATTATAGAAAGCTTTAATTTTGCGGTCATCCAAATATTTTTGGCCATCCTTAACCAGATTGATGCGATTCTTATAGGCCATTCGAACCTGTCGAAAATAAAGCGGGTTCTCAAAAGACACTTCTATAAGGATTGTGGTTCTTCAAACTTACCGGCAAAATGTTGCCGATAAACATCAGCGAATTATTCTTGGTCAACAGATAACCGAAGTCCACCAGAGTTGGGCGGGCTTTTGGATCACCAGCAAGCACGAGTACTTGCGGATGATAGTTCTTAACGTGGTCAGATACATTCTGCAGGCGATGCACAGCCATCAAGGCTGCTTTATATTGTTGTGCTTGGGTCGTAGAGCCCCAATTTGCATCCGGTTTGCGGTACATTACGACCAGATAGAGCGTGAATATAATGCCAAATGTTACAATGGCTGCCACATAGTTGATCAGGAACATGATGACCACGCACATGGCAAACCCAAACAGGCTTATCCAGGCATTGTAGTATTTAAATGTGGGTCGCCAGCCCAAGGGCTTGACGAAGGCCGCATGGAATGTGCAAAAGTTAATGAGAGCATACGAAGCCAGATAGAAGGTGGAGATCAGTGGGGCAATCAAGTTCAGCTCTCCAATCAGTAGGAAGCCTGCCGATATGAAGAACGTCAGCACATAGCCGCGGTAGGGTTCACCGTGTTTCCCATAGGGTTTCGAGAAGAAAATCAATCCTGGATAAATTTGATCTATGCCCAAGGCTTGGACCAAGCGAGGCACAGACAGCAGATTCGTTAGCGCTGTGCTCAGAGTGGCGGCAAAGCAGCCAGCATAGATAAGCGGCCCCCAGAGCGACATCACTTGCATCATTTCGTAAGAGTTGAAGAGGCCCCAATCACAAGTTTCATTCTTTAGACAGGACAGCTCAGATGACACCAGTGTTCCATTAATAAGGTCTGCAGGATTGCCCGAAGCATCGCGCATTGCGGCACCGCCAGCAAAGAGAACAAACAGCGCATAGGAAGTCATGGAGATGAGTAGGGCCCAGAAAGTTCCCTTTGGAATGGCTGCACCCGCATCCTTCAGATCACCACAAATATTCGCACCAGCCTGAATGCCTGTTACACTGGGAAAGAATATGGCAAAAACACTGAAGAAATTGTGATTGACGCCTTCCGCATAGCGATAGTCCGGGCCGAAGTTCTCCTTAAAGGTGTCCCCTATTTAAGAAGCAACGTAGTTGGACAAGATCCTCATTGAAAACTTTTTAAATATATACTTACATGAGAAGCCAACGAAGCCCCGGGATATCAGCGTTTCGTTCCCGCGTGGTCCAATCGCGGCGCCAATCAGAAAATTGAATATGGCCAGCGTAATCGTGACAATTAGAAAGTTTTGCGCCTTGGTCTCCCATTCCATGCCCACGCAGCAGATCAGGATCAGCACCAATATCGTTACAGAGCCCACAATTCGAATGTCATTTATATCATTGTCGATGATCTTTACATCGTAACTTTCTGCAATTCAAATTTTTTTAAAAAATAACAATAACAAATACCAAATTTTCTATTCTCGACTCACTCAACAAAACATTCAGCGACTCGCAGAAACCAATCGTATTCATGGACGCTGACACAGCATTGGCAAATGCAAAGACCACTCCCACGGATGCGCCGAATTCCGGACCCAGTGAACGTGAAATTATAAAATAAACACCACCACCCTTCACCTCGCCGTTGGTGCTTATGGCTGAGAGTGAGAGCGTCGTTATGACACAAACCACCGCCGATATGGTAATTATAATCAGTGTCTGTAGGATGCCCGACTCGGCAACGACCCAGCTGAGACGCAAGAACAGCATGACACCCCAAATGTTGAGTAGACATGGTATAAGCACACCGACAATCCAGCCAAGTTTAATTTGACCGCCGGACGGTTCTGGTTCTGCAGCATCGGGTATAGTAATGCTCTATAAATAAATAGGAATATCCATTATTGAGACATTAAACAAATGCTTAACTAGTCAAAATTCTAGTAATACATTGTACTATCTACAAGCTGTCCACTTTTTTAAGTAAGTGGGGAATTACAGCGTTGGCTTCAATGTAAATGCCATTTTCTAAAATAACAAAATAAAATGCTATAGTAGAACTTAAAAGGAAGGAGGAGGGGAAGGAGAACCATTTGGAAACATAATTGGTTGACGGATATACAGTCAGACACGGCTGATGATGCTGATCAAAAAGATATACACTTTATGGGGTGGAAAATGCTTTCTTCTGCCTGTAACATTTTTCACTTTATACAAACCCTAAATACGTTTTATACCTTTTAGACAGGTACAGAGTAATCAATCACATCAAATAATATGTGTTTTGTTTGACAATCTAGTTTTATGTACTAATAGATGTCAGTTGAAGCATTTCGAGCGGATTCTGTGCCCTCAAAAGGCGTACCTTCGATCGCCATAAGTAAATTTTCGAAAAAGTACAATTTTTACAGATGCCCCAATTGATTAAATAATTGTGAGGAGAGTTGTTGATTGTGTGTGTGTCTTATTTGAGACATCTTCTGATCTCTCAAGTATTTGCTTAATTCCAGTTTAATACATTGTAATGGAGCCTTTGGGTGATCGTCCATGTACAAGTATTACGCATTGTAAATAAAATGTACTTTCACATTATATGTTGTGAGTTCGTTGGCTGCAATATGTAGATTTTAATGTTGTTTAGTATGTATAGATAGTATATATAGATTGGAAATAAATAGATCTCAAATCTGTATAAGGAATTATAACTCAAAATAATATTATTTTTCAACACAATTTACCCCAAAAAATGTCAAAAATTAATAATAAAATACATACAATAATTTGGTAGCATTTTATTTGCTTTCTTATTTATTCCTGGAAAATTAATTGCTTCGTTGGAAATGCTGTACAACATCAAAACAAAACTTGTTAGGCAGATTCCCAGACCAGTCCAGGTTTTCCACTTTCCCGACTGAAAATTGAGTGGGCAATTAACATTTTTTCAACTATTAGGTCTAGCTGTAAAGATCTTTTCCCAAATGATGTGTGATGAGCATAAGTATATTTTTAAGTGCTTGTATAAGCTCAAAGTTCGTGCACGGACAACCGCAATTAGTTCGAGGAAATGAGTATTACTCATACGACATGTGGGTGTTGCGTTTTCACAATATGTATTTAATTGACACATTGTCGCCGTCGCCACTGCCGACGGCATCATTAACAATAGAAGCAGCACCAACGGCAATACAATAATACAACAATACAACAAACAATAATATGAAACGTCAAAGCAGCAGCCCATTGCCTATCTAATTGAATTTTATAACTGCACTAAAAATCGCACTCATATTCGCAGGCACATCGCAAAAATAAGGAACGGCAAATAAAAGTCATGTCAAGTGTCTCGGCTTGTTGGTCAATATATTAGCATGTGTTTAATATAACTTAGTGACTGTTAATTGAGCTGTGTATATTTTTAAATTCTGCGAATATCAAGTGTGATCAATTAGTGCTTCAGCCTTTATGGTCATGTGCTTAACAAAACACTTACGATGCTTAATAATATTACATATACTAAGTAGTTAACAAATTCAGTCAGAAAGCTGTAGTCTACATTCATCGCCTACCACTTAGACAATGTACTAAATTTTGTCGCCCGTTTATTAGATGTCTGTTTAGGTTTTATTATTGCTTTGTTATTTAAGATGATATTTTTCGCCAAAGGCCAATAGGAACTGCTCATTTATTTTATTGTTTGCTCATATAATTGAATGTCCTTTAAAACATGAGTAACACTCACACGTGGCATGGGCATCCGGGCTGTACTGGGGATGGAGTTAAATGTGTTACATCGATTGACTTGTTCGACCAAATGGCTTTGTTGTTGATGAAGTTTTCGCCAGCCAGACCTACGCTGCGAATACGCAATGCCTTTGGCTACACGCTGCGTGGTTTGCAATTAGTGATGAAAGCGCATGTCACGCGAAATACGTCCGCCATATTGTGAGTAATCCTGCACATTTTGTTAACCCTCTATCCAAAGCGTTGGAGGGCTTACTAGTTTGCCATTGTAAGTACATAATACACGAAATGTCATCTTCTATTTTAAGTTGAAGCTTCAGAGATATTTCTCATTTTAAGAGAACCGTGTTTGTAGAAACATTTCATTTGGTTCGCTTTTCGTGAGAATTGGGTGCTCTTATCTGCGTCTACATAAAGGTACAGGTATTGTAAATGTTATAACAACTAGAATCGCAAATTCGCTGTGCACGGCACTTACAGAAAGCTATACAGCCTAAGCTCGAGTAATGTACGCTTTAGTTACATTTTTAGTCCATCCCAAGAGTACAAAATATTTCATATTGGCAACGCATGGTAACTTCCTTTTAGGCAATACAGTCCGAAACTGACAGCTAAATATATAATAGGAGTCAACAAAATGTTACTCGAGTTTTGAACAAAAAATGCTATACAAATAAACCAAAAGAAAGTTATAACCATTACCATGCGCTGCTTCTACAATAAAGCAGTTTATATTCTGATTACTATTTTGGTGTGCAATGGGAAATCAGTGTTGAGCAGTTTTCGTGCATTTTACAACAATGGCAATGCACCTACATACAAGTATGTATATTTTAAATAAACTACAAAACGCAATGTGAAACTTATAGAAATATATAATAATTTGAAATACAATTTGCAGGAACAAGATTACATTGGACCCTGAACTTTTTTTGATAATTAGAATTGTTAGACCCAAGATCGCTGCAAAGTTCTTCAAAAGTTTATTCAATAATAATTCTAAAATGAAGTGGCTTTGTTTTTAAATACGACCAGTTTGCGAAATGTTTTTTGAAAGTTCTGTGTCCACACTAAGGAGCTGTAGAAATTACCATCCCTAGCTCGAATCCATGGTGGCTTGCCGTGTGGCCAACAGTGGGTGGTCAATGTTGATTGTTTACACATTTTTGGCGGCGCTAAACGGCAGGCAGTCCGGTATTCAGTAACGCAGACAGAAAGACATATAGCCAGACAATCAGTCAGTCAGTCATACAGACAGATAGCTACCATCCCTAGTCGACGCTGAGTTGGTTGTTGGTTGTTTATGTTTATGTGACGCTGCCCAGGGCCATCTAATTTAGTTAAAGACCTCCAACTCGGCGCGTTTTCTTTGCTGTCGACGAAGCGTGGAAAATTTTGTTCCTTCATTTTTTGCACAAAGCCACAAGCTTCAGAAATTGCGCTTTAAAATAGCATTTGGCATGGTTGTTGTTATTTGATATTATTATGGCAAAAGGGTGTTCATGGCAACAGGTGCAAGCTTAGCATGGGTGGTGGCACGTGGTTGTACAAGAAAATGTAATCGAGACAAATATGTATGTTTGCTGAAAATTCCAAAATGTATGGCATATTTTTGATAAATCAGTCAGGTGTCCTTTTGTTGGGTCTGTCTAGCGCTTGGAAGCTAATTTATGAGTGAACTCATGAATGCTGTTAAATGTAGTGAAAAATGTACATTTTTAGACTGTCAATTAAATTACATAAGTATGTGAAGGTCACAGTAGTCGCTATTAGATATGCATATATTGTAAGTATATACATATTATTCAAAAATATCAATAACAAGACCGAATGCTGTGGTTCAATTTTTTGAACTGTTCGGAATAACTTTTCTTAACTTAGGCATGAAATTACAGATAGTAGTAGAGAACTACGAGTACGAGTAGATTTAGTCGAGTAATCTGATTTGAGGAGCAATCTGGAAATAAATTATCTATGTCTTGAAAGACTCTGTAGACGATGAAGAATCAGTTTGGACGGACATGTGTATATCTACTTGCCTCGTCGTGCTGAGTAAAAGTATATTCCTTTTGTATTTAATATTTGCACAAACTTTAAATACCACTTTATACCCGCATAAAAAGTTCATGATCAGTTAGACAACGAATAAAGGAAAACACTTATGTTGGTGGAGTACCGCATAAAGGCACTACACATTGCATAATGCCGAAGGTCGTACTGTAAATTTAAATTACGAATGTTATTGGAACAAGTAAGATTCCTTAGCTGAAAACACCTTTAAAAATATTATTATTTTTAATATGAGTTTGATATTCTTAAATTTGACGTCGTAGGTACAGCTATTAATTTCGAACATAAATTCGTTGAAGACATAATATCAATTGTACCACTAGTGTATATTTATATATATTTTTTAAAGTGTATCTTCCTTTCTTTTACCTCTTCCCTTAAATAAGTTTTATTGCTATTATACCAACCAATGGCAGTTTTACGATATATGTATTTACCCATTTTAATGAAGCTAGGGAATATGTGAAACAATTTTAAAAATGTATTGATACTAAGAGTGGTTACGATTTTGTACCTAGGATATTTTAAGTTTAATTAATAATCGAAGATGGTTCACAATATATAATGCTTTTAATAGTCTTTGCTGTCATAAAAATTAGTACTGTACTGCACAATGCACCGGATAGATAGACCTGTTTGCTTTGTAAGTCGGATCCGGAACGGATGGGGATGAAAGAAGCAACAGATTTAATTTGAATAAGTGCATAAATGTGATTGTGACGCCACGTGGATAATGCAATTCCTGACAAATGGTATGTAAATTGTGCTAAGCACACTCGAGGATTGTTATAACGGGATGGGTAAAATCAATAAAAGTATTTAAGAATAGCACACATCGTCTACATTCGCTCTAAATATCGAAATCGTAATTGCAATGCAAATATAAAATGTAAATTTAAGAAAAAGCGCACCCATACGGAATAAACAACAATGAGTGTGTGTGTGTGTGTATGTGTTGGTGAATTGCTCATACGTCATGTTGGCAACTTCGGAGGATCGGTTGTTGACAGGTGAGGCAACTGAATAAAGTACTATTTAGGGTTTTTAGCATGGTAATAAATATTAATATAATTGTAGGGTAATTTTATTTCAACTACTGATTGCTAAGCTGCTCGTGTAATGGCTGGCATGGTGGCATATAGCGTGCGATTAAAGCGCGATTTACTAAAAGATAATGTCAGACAATGTCTTTAATTGAAATATGATTGTGGGACTTGAGTTTTTCGGTTGTCAAACCGCTACTAACCGCATACTTCTGATCATTTTCGAGTGTTGGGAATTTGATTTTGCAAAAACATATCAAACATTCTATCTTTCGAGTATGGCCTTTATCGCTGCTCACATGCCAGACTGTCGATGCCTTGAACGCCAAAAAGCGACACTCTTCACACTACTCCTATGCATATGTGTGTGTGTGCTTTTAATCGGATGATTGAGTGGGTTGCGGTGTAAGTGCGTGCGTGTGTGTGTGTGCGTGCGATTGACAGGCAGAAAAATGCACACGGTTTTCATATATCGTCCATTTCACGATAAGCAATGGCAAGCACAACAATAACAACAACTGCCAGGATGATGACGACAGTACCATCTGCCGTTCAGCCATCTGTCAGTTTCAATGGCAGGGCTGTGCATTTTCCACAAACTGAACCGTCTTGGCCTCTCTTGTTTATTTATTTATCAAGTGGGCGCGGGGAAGGGCGCTGTTACTGCTCTTGTTATTGAGGTGCATGGCTGCATCTTGTTGACAATTAATTTGGCTTAAAGGATATGCTGGCGGGGGTGCTGGTGGTGTCACTTTTCATGCATGGAGCATTTTGTCATCACCTCCATCAATTATCGTAAGTATGTGAATGATATATAGCAGCAAGAGTTCAAGTAGAATCTAGCTGTCAATCAATTGGTGTGTCTGGACTCCGATGGTCACGCAAGGGGGTCTTGTACAGTTATAGTATTGGCACCACACTATGCTGCGTTATGTAGCCTTTACTGCATCAATCAAAATGACAGAACAATATGAACAAGGGCAAGAGTTGAGACTTTGTTCTCAAACAATGTACGGCACACCATATGCACCTGCGCTCCTCTTCAGTTGGCTTTGTTTGAGGTTTTGGCCCTAAAACCTGAGGTAAAAGGGTACATTCGACTGTTTTGAAACCTGGCAAGCAATAATAACAAATGCGAATGTAGGTAACACCCAGAATCAGGTGTGCCAGGCTGCCCACAGTAAATATACAAGTATTGCATTCACATGTTCGATAAGTTATGGATTCTCTGCCGGCCACCCCCAAGCTGTTTTAATGATCACTGATCTACAAGTATAGTGTTCCATTAAACTATAATTCCAAGTATTTTTTCAATGGTTCAATGGTTTTCAATGTAAGAAATTTGAATTATGAGCAGGCGATTTTTGTGGCTGCAGATTGTATAAGGTATTAGATATACTTATAGTTATTCATTTCATAGAATTACATAAGCTAAGAAGTTATATTTGTCTGCATTGAAACGCATTTTAACCTCCAGTGCCTCCAAAAGCCCATTTTATCTTTAATTGGTAAGCATATTTTAATTATTTTGGAGAGTCAACATTCCCAAGTAATGTTTCTATGAGAGCTTTTCTTGCACTTAATTATCGGACATGATCGGATGCGATAGTCTCCTTGTTATGCGAGGTGTAGTGATTGCATTTGGATTCGTCTCGAAATGCTCACCCTTCTGCCTAATGGATCGCAAAAGAAATTCCTCTCAGTAATCAAACCCTAATTATATTTAATTTCATGCTAGAAACATATTACCTAATTTTGGGTTAATTCCAATTGGGCATATCGACAAATTTTGAAATATTATTAAAAATTACGTGTTTTTAACGATAACGTGAAAAGATACACACGCACATTTGTATGACGAGCTAAATACGTATCAACTGGCTTCGTCGCATTCTTTAATTCTCGTGATTTGAAACATGTATTTGGTTAGTCCGAAGTAACAGAGTGGTGTTAATAAAGCTTCTATTTATGTGTTATGAGCTGCGGTTTTTAGAAACGTAAATGTACTGTATACGCTGTCTGAAGTAATAATTATTTTTTGAGCAACCCATGGATTAATTTGAGAACACAACCTTCCGATGATTTTCGACTTATTCGCAACCGAATCATGTTTTTTCATAAAAATGGGTCTAGCTGTGGGTAGGGGAATCATTTTGTTTGCCCCATCAGCTGGGTTTTGATTTAAATAAGCATTTTATATACTCATTCATTTAACATATTTGTAGTAATGTTTATAAATATAGATTTATTTTTGATAATGGTTATTGTTTCCTCAATAATCATATGATTTATATTGAACGTTTAAATTCTCAAATGCATAATCATAATTATAAAATGCTCTTTTTCACTATTTGTTCATCTGGATTTAAAAACAATGAACCGGCACACTTAGCTAGAAGTCTAGCAGAATTATTTGAACAAATATTTACTTAATATGATAATACCTAAGCTGCCTGCAATATAAATTCTCATGTGCAGAGGAATTCCCTTAATGCGATTTTTATGATATTTTTATGATAAGTCTTTACGCGCTTAACGTTGCGCGCCGCAGTAGTCAGCAGTCAGACAGAGAAGTAAGTGAATTAATTAAACAAAACCTAAGTAGCCACTATTGATAAAATGTAGTACGTTTATACTGGGCAGTATTATTATGTATTTGTGAAGTGTATGTATGTGTGCGGGTGTTTGTTCTTAGAAAAGCATTAAAGTTGGTGCTTTGGCGATAATCATAAAATCATTAACTAACTTGGATCGTTAGTTTTCTTATCTATTCTGTGTTTTCAGTTTTTATTTCATTCCTTCTCGCTTTGCCTTATGTCACAACAATGGTTAAGGAAACATTATCCAAAGGAAAGTTTTCCACACAATCAAATTTAAACAGAAAGGCCGACAATAAAGGGCCCTACCCCATTTAAATCCATTCCAATCAATAGCAGACGTCATAATTTAGATTTGTTTACCCGCAACTCTCATCTCGAAGGCGTTAAATAATAATGAAAACTTTTATATTGTAAATACACGTCATGAAACGAACACGCACAAGATATGTGCAAAATATTCAAGTAAATAAATTCAGCAATCTCTGAAAAAATGATATGTACCTTATTAATATGGCTCTAGTATTTATTTACTTAAGCAATTTTCAAAAATTCAAATGTCTGCGTGCCTCGTGACGTATACGCAATATTTGGAGCGGAGAGAAGGAGATCTGGGGCATGGATAAGTACTGGTAGTACATACATATACCTATGTATTCCAATATAGGAAATAAGTACAAAAAGAACAGAAACAAAATAAAAAATAATGATTTCTTGTGTGAAATTTCTTTCTTATATTTTTGTGGCATATTTGTTTTTGCAGCACTGAATTAAAATTTTGTTTATTTATCAAGAACTCACATATAAATGCAAGCATATAATACACATGTATACGTACATACTATACATGTGGTTATGTGTGTGTGTGTGTTTAGTGAAATTCAAGTGTGGTGCCAGGATTATGCCAAAGTCTGATGTGCGCAGTATTCTCGTACATTACATATCTCAATAACAAAATCATTTGCACTGACAGCTCTTCAAAATCAGTAATGGTCATTCAATATCACAAATTCATGACTATCCGACTCACAATTGTCCATGTTTGTATTCTATGGCATATTTTCGAGTGCGGCCCCACCTTTCAGCTTGCACTTTTTGTAGGATAATGTAAAGTGTTGTCCATAAGTACGAGAACCTTGGCTTTTTAGACTGAGGCTAAGTGGTCCTTAATCCCTATCAAGTTTTGTGAATCAACACTACACGTGCTCAGACTATATCTATACCTCATGCCATGCTGATAAAGAGTTCCATTTGTATTTCATTCGAATATAAATACATATATACTCAGTATATATAATTTGATTAGCTTCATTGAAATCCACAGAACTTTTAGCCGGAAAAATACTAACCCGATAACCAACACCTAAACATTTACTTTACTGCTTTTTGGGATACTTGCACTCATCGGGACTGATGGAATATCGGATCCGCATTGAACCCAATTAATGAAAAGTATTCGAGTAGTTATTCACTTTTTACACTTTTAACTTTTTAAACTTTTACCAACGCTGGGTGTCAGCTCTTCTCAACTCACCTGGTCAACCGCTTCACCTTGTAGTTCACCAATCGAAGGGCGTTTTAGGTTTCGCATAGAAATGCGATAATTATCCAAACGCGGCAGCGATTCCCTGCAATGAAAAAAGTATGAAAATATATTATATTTTGATTTTCGAGCAACACAAATATACAGTCGTACTGATGGAACGGCAGCAGCACCATCACAGCCTCGGGTAGCATGACCGTTGCCTGCAACACGCCAAGTACAAATACCGATATCTACTAAAGAGCTATATCCATACCCGTTCGGGGCAGCACTCAAGAATTTTTTAAATAAAATAATACAAGAGGAACGTATTGGAAAAACCCAATAGCAAAAACAAGGTAATCCAAGGGGTGCCAGGGGTCAAAGGCTGGAAAATTTGCTTTCAGTGGCAACAGTTTTATCACAGGTTTTGTTGATCCAATTGCTCGGTCCGTCTGCCTGCTTGCTTGCTTTTTGCTCGCAGTACGAAAATATTTTTGCCTAGACTCTTTAAATTTTATTATGTATATTTACCAATTGGAAACGAAAACAGCAATGCTAAAGATAATTTAAAAGCTTAAAAAGGCAACGAAAAAGCGGCTGAAAGTAAAACAGCATGCTGTCGAACATTGGGAGATGGAGGGGCTATTGGGGTGGAAAGAGCCTTTAGTGCCGAATGATTGACAGATTGTTGAGTTTCCAGCATGATATGGGAATTTATAGATAGATGCTGGAAACCCAGCAATGTTCAATAAAAGAATAGCTCTTGGAATACACTTTAAACATACCCCTAAACCATGCCCCTCTAAAGAATTATTTATTTAATCATTGGTTATTTTTTACGATTTTTATAGCTACGATTGAGTTGGATGGTTGATGGCCATTGCATACAACGTAAATAGTTTTATGATATATTTATTTATATTTATTTTATGATATAGTTATATATGTAGATATAATCATGTAACATTAAGCGAGCGGCTTTTTTTTCATAAAGAATACAAAATTAATATTTTGTTAACATGAGTTTGTTTTATTACAAATTTATTAAATCGATCTATCAATTAATTAAAACTTTTTAATTACATTCCGACTCAGTACAATATTTTCCACGATCATGATCAAGAAGTATTTCGAGCGAGGCTTTCGCCTGACTTCTCCTTGCTAAATTCAATTTACTGCAAATAATGTAAGTAGTTATGTAAACGGATGCTTGATGGTTAAAATGCCAATTTATGGATATCAGTTGACTTGTGCAGACCCAATTGTTTGGTTAACTTTCATTTATTGGACAGAAGTTTTTGTGTGATTGTTTATGAACTGCATCTCCAATCAAATGTTACTTTGTTCGCGATAACTTGGATGTTAATAAAAAATGTATGTAACGAAGTCCTGTTTTCTTTATGATGCACGTGGTAATATAATTTTCCACTTCAGTATAAGGTAAAAAAAGAGAAGGTACACAATCTTCCTGCTATGCGATGTATCGGAAATTTGAACAAACTTGAGCAGAATACGAGTGTCACACATACAATTTATACAATTTATACCAGATCAATTCTAGAAGCTGTCCAATTTTGTGTGTTATTCCTATAAGAAATATAGTATCTGCTGCGGGGTAGCGGCAAAATAGATATTGAGCTGAAACAGTAGCTGAGACGTATTTAGAAGATACATTTCTACAATTATGATAATTATTGTTATGCGTATTCAATTATCAGATATTTCACGCATTGTTGCGTTGCGTTAGTTTCATTGAGATTCAGCTAGTTTAGTTGAGTTGGATAATTGGAGCAGCATACTTGTACGTACATGGATGGGCGAGAGACACATGACCAGAGAGAGTGCGAAGCTGTTTTATACCACATTTCGATCAATTGACTTCGTTTACGGTTTCTTCTTATTAAAAATATAGTATTGTAGTGTATTCTTGCTGTGCTCTCTACAGAATTGTTTCGGCTGACTGAATTGTTTCGGATGACAACAGCAACAACAAGAGCAGCAACAACGTGCACAGTTAATGACTCATTTATTTGCACATACAAACAAGCCCGACTCATTGACTTCAATAACAAAATGAAAACAAATTTTTGGCTGGTGTTGTGGTTTCCCGTTTACTTAATTTTGTTGTATTTCATATTAGCAAAGTGTTGTTTTTTTAGTATTGTCATCCTTGTGCCCCAAATGGGTAAAATATTGAAACACCTTTTTACACAGTTCAGACGTTGATTGCTGCAGTCTGTTGTACTGTTACGCGCTGATGTTCATTAAATGCTTTTAATTTTTGAAACACTTTTCAATTTTATTGATCTTGATTTCATTGGCCGTTCGATTAAATTATTAAAGAAAACACACTACTACAACAAATTCGTTTTCAAAGAGTTAGAGCTCTTGTTTGATTAATTCGATTAAATGTTCAAACTTATCTTTTGAATTATTGCACATTAAAATATGTATGTATATAAAAAACACAAATATAAACTGAAAGTATTTTTTGATAGTGATGTTATAAACAAATATTAGGATTTTACCTAAAATTTTATAAATAAATACTAAACGTCAATCTTCAGAAAACAAACACTTTAGCTTTTAAAAAATCGATAGCGGGAGTGTTGATGACTTGCCTCGCTGGGGAAAAATATCTGCGCTTGGGTCGAAAAAGTTGATGTAATAAATTTTCAGACAAGTAAAAAAATTACTTAACATATACGTATGTACATATGAACAAAACTTTTGACATTACCCTAATTATGTATATACAATTCATTTAGATACTCACACATGCTTACGAATTTTTATTTTTTAATTGTTATATTGTTTATAAACATTGAATAGGCTTTCAATATTAGCTTCTTTTTATTGTATGTATTTGCATTTTGTTAAGAATGAATATTTTTATTTTTTCATTCATTGTAAAACATATCAGTATATAGTTGCCATAGTAATGCGCTAAAAATGGAAAGGAACAGCTGCCTCGCCTTAATGACCTTTATTTTAGTAAATAAATAAATATTACGACAATTGCATAAAAACAGGCAGCAATATATTATTTAAAATCACGTGTGTTCCACTTTTAATTGTTGCCGATTTTACAGTTTGATATGAGCGGTTAAATTTGCTGTAAATTTTATCTGTACCCAGCGCAAAAAAACGACAGACGTGATAAAAATAAAGTAATTTAACATTCAATGCCGCTTTACAAACAAGTGTAGATGTTTATATGCAAATATTAGTGATGCTCATGCTTTTATGTATGCATGTGAAAATTAACATCAATGCTGATCCGATTATTGCTGTTTAAACAAAGGTATTTCCATATCTCATGTCGAAGTCAAAGAACACATTAATGGTGATCTGATCTAACCATTGCCGATGCTTTTAATGGAATATTAAAAATTTTCTAAAGCTTCTGGAACTTCCAAATTATATTTTTCACTACGTATATTTGTTTAATATGCTTTCTAAAGAGGGTAAAATAATAATAGTTATAACTTGTTCTAACAATATAATCTGCAGGGTACTATTATTTACTGTGGATGTCGGAGCGCTTATAATTTTAAAGTCTGAAATTTAATATTATCGTTTACATATAGCTCTAGAAATATAAAATTAGTGTAAATATAAGTTCATTGTGTCCCATTACATCGATGTTTATTTACATCACTAGCTTTAGTGTTTATATCGAACAAACTGAAAAATGCATTCATGTTTTTCTTCCTTTTTTTAATGGTCATTCACAAATTTTGTTTTTAAAATTCATTTGACAATATAGGCACTTCGCTTTATGATCTTTATTTCGCTGTTTTTAAATCAGCTTTTAGCCTCGTTTTTGGCAGGCCATAGGTGTATCATTTTTGCCGCTCTCTTTTGGGGTTTTTTTTTTTGCAAACACGTTAGCCTAAAGATGGAAAAACAAATATACAGTATACTATGTGTGTAATTTAGTATGCATATGTAATCATTGATATTATGGAAATACATCATATCTGATAAAAATTGTACTAATTACAGTTCGTAAATTGCTAGAGGCGTGAATTCTGATATTTTAGTGGGAATGAGAGCTTTTGTAACGTGAATTTATTCTCATTACCAACAACAAAAATTAAATTCGTGTTAATAGACTATACTTAAATATTGTGAATTATTCACAAATGTGTTAAACAACGCAATTGTTACAGCTACATTTAAAAAATATTTAGATCCCCAATTTGTTGCTTAAACAAATCTGTGTTTTATTAACAGATTCATTCTTTTCATTGTTCTCAAACTAAATTAGAAACACACCTTTTTAAACAACTTCTTAAGTGTAATACTAAATACAAGTTATTAATATAAGTTACTGTTATTTTTATTGGTCTAATACCTACATGTTTAAAAATGTGTCCATTTTATTTAAATTTGTATCTTCTCAACTATTAATTGTTGCGCGTTGATTGAAAATTTGAATTATTCAATTTCATTGAGATATAAAATGGATTGAAAACTATATAAGCCATTCACAGTAAGTCCTTTTATATACTGATAGAAATACGCGAATGTAGATCTTGTATTCATGACATAGAAATGCATTTGAAATTTTTCGTTTCGCTTTACGAAATTTCCACGGCCTTAACGAGGCAAATGCGTTACAAATATTTAATTTCAAAAAACAAATAATTACCATCAAATTCTATTTAATTTAAAATTGTAATACAATGCCAATTTTGTGGGTCACTTACTTTGTCAGTTGGGCCAAACTGAATTTTCGCTCGGCATCCGATTTGCGCAGGAAGTGGCCAAAGCCGCGAAATGATAGCCTGGAGCTCCGACGATTTTCCGGCTGCGGCAAACTATTTTGTTGTTGGCTTTCGTTGTTGCCGTCCGTTGAAACTGTTCCATTTTCGGCGCCGGCAGTCGTTCCGTCGGTGCCGTTCACCTTTAGGATTTGAAAGCGATCTGCCATGTCGTTGTTGTTACAGCTGCTACTTTAAGTCAAACAAAGGGCCGTAATTATTTATATTTTTGGCTACTCAAAAATGCACTTTTTTACAGCTTTGTTTTAAAATTGCTTAAAATTTGTCAATTTAATGTAATACACAAGTATTTTCCATTGGCATTCACATTTGCAATTAAATTTTTTTTTCTCTAGACAGGTGCAGCACAGGACCTTCACACAGGCGTGCCTGTATTTCTATAAATTGTATTTTGTTATTTCGCAGAACGCGAACAACACGACGCGCACTCGACGATGTTTCGGAAACGTTTAACAGCGAGTGCTGAGTGTTGGCATATTTTTAACGTTCATTTATTAGCGCACAATTTGTCGGATGTCAACTGGCAACTGCTGTACGCCGTGAATGCGGCAGCGCTTTTTGATTAACACTTTACAGACTCAAACTCGTATCTCGTCGCTGACAAATAAGTTGTTGTACTCGGGACCGTGGACTCGGAGCGGTTACAACTGAACGCGATGACTGCTGCACGGCGTTTGAGCGTTGTCAAGTGTTTGCCGCTTGATTAATATGGCTTTTTGATTATGGGCACGCAATGAGAACACTGTTTCGCTGGTTTTAGTTTGACGATACATATATGTATTATGTACATGTCTTGTGTTGTGTATATTGCAAGGCGCGCGTGCACGTGTATGCGCGATGTGGTGAGTTTTTCAACAAGTGTTTTTGCTTCTGTTTTGCGCTCAATTCAACACACAAGGCGCGTGCTCTCTCGTGCTGAGCGACCATCGAACACCTCACAAAAATATCGCAACAACAACATGACATGTAAGTACATAGATGTACTCGTACTAAGGAATAAGAATTAGACAGGTATAAAGTAAACAGAGGCCAAATATTTATAACGCTCAGAAGAATGGGTGACAGACTCCATATTACACATTTATGATGTATGTACAAGTATATAAAATAACTAAGATTGCCATTTGTATTCTCCTAAGCCAATGTATTTCCAAAGCTTATAGTATGTTTTGATTAGGTTACTTACCAAATTTGGAGTTAAGATTTTACCTACTTATTAGTGTATTCGTACCCTCAAGTTGTTCTTAATATTTTAAAAAGGCTATAAATGTAGTATTCAAAGCCGTCGCAATTTTTATAATGAAATTGAAAATGTACACAAAACTGTCTGTTTTTCTTACATTCGTAAAGTATTTTGATTACAGCGTTTTTACGAGTTGTTTCGGTTCGGTTCCAACATTCTGTTCTTGTTAAGGTTTACAGAGCTGCTCGCTGTAATGTGGCGCCTGTTGACAATCTTTTAACCTAACAGGTCTGCCAGTGTGTCAAGTCTCATAATTTAAGCCGCCATTTTGGTGTGAACACACGAAATTTTTGATGTATTTGTGCATTCTTTCCGCCAGTGTTAATACTGCAATTAGCTTGTTTATGTTGTTTACTTAATTTAAAGCAACTTGCCGACAAAAGACTGCGCCCACTTACTCACATGCCGTAACATCTTTACCACCAGACAGCAGAGGTAAACAGCAATAGTAACTTGGCGAAAAAAGAGCGTAACAAAGCAGTATCAAACACAAAAAGTACGGCCATTACCGCAAGAGGACAGACACGAATGAAACCCGCTTAATCGAATTAAATTCGGTTATATCTGGTTTGATTGGATGACGACTTGGTGCTGGCTGCGAATCGCGTCGAAAGAGTATGTGCCAGTGACAAAACAAAACAGCCGGAGAGTTGCTGTTATTAAGCATAATGAAAGTGTTTTTTTCATTCTACTGCGGGACGCCCCTGGGCTCTCTGTCGTTGTGTTGGCTCTAGGAATGAAAGAATCTACATCAAAGCTTGTTGGCCATAATACTCACACTAGTACTAAGCTACTACAATCATTTGCTTCGTTAGTGCTCTCTTCTTAGAAATGTTGTTGTTTTAGGTACTTTTGCGGCTCAACTGCAGCGAAACAGGTACTCATCACCTTCTAAGAGTTTGTTTTATGCAATTCGCTTTTTATAATATGTATGTACGAGCTTTTTAATAGCGTTTTAATAATGGTATTGTTTTATTTTGTTAGTTAAGCTATTTTCGTTGGCGTGAAAGCCCCGTACTATCTCTTTGATTGACCACTGATCCCCGATTCCTTGACAACTATAGGCCGATCTCAATAGTTTATCTGAGGGTTCCAATCTACGCGAATTGTAGTTTATTAAAGAAAATAAACAAGTGCTCAGGTAGACGGATATCACCGAGGGATTTCTCTCTGCAGCCTCATCATTTATGTTCCTATAAGATGGGGTATGCTTTTCTTAAATATACATTTACCAATGTGTAGAGTATAAAATAATTTATGTAAAAAACTTGTTGTATTATATTTTGAATTTTGATTGAGTGGGTCAAGGTAAAAGGCATATAACTAAGAGAGTTGTCAAATTATTTTGTAGATCTAGTCAACAAATGAAGAAATCGTTTTAATGTATTTAAAATTAAATTTTTTTAATACAATACAAAACTACAGAAGCTATGAATATTACTAATAGCGTGAAAGTGGGGGTGCTCCTTCTGTGTGTAACATATCTTCGTATAAATCTAGTATACCTTTTACCGTTTGGGTACAGGGTAAATAAAGTATGTTTTGTGTATAAATAAAACAAGAATAGATTCAAAATAAACCTTAATTTTCACAGACTTAGGAAAACCAATTTGCTACATTTTTGGGAGATTTTTGAGAATTTGGGTACAGTGTATATCAAACAGATTTAGTTTTGGTAAATTTTATGGATGCTTTTTTTGACTTATCAATGTGCTTTATCTATTCCAAAAACTGATAATAATATGTAAACTATAAGACTCGCTTTTCAAAATGTTCAGTAACTGCATTTAAAATTGCATTTCTAAGAGCATCGGCACCCAGGCAATTATTTCGATTGATTACTGTACATGTTTTCGTATAGACAAACTATTAAAGACAAATAAAACACGGAAAATTGACATCGACCATAGTAGTCGTATGTGAATTTTTGGTGATTACGTTGTCAATCCTGTGAGTGGCAAAGGTACACAGATTTGATCCCAGTGTAAAAAATCGCCTGATTGGCCATTGCAGTATTTTTAATAAAGATAATTAATTAAAATTGAAGCTTCACCATTCAAGTGAAAAATGGAAAATATTAATATAACAATTGTAGCAGAAGAGATTTCAAAGGAACTTGATGTATGGGTGCCTGTAATGGATCGACACATGTGGATGTACATATATACTATAGTATAAATAAAACAAGAATAGATTCAGAATAAACCTTTTTTCACAAAAAGGATTGGTTAGACGGACGAAGGACATGGCTACATCGAGTCGTCCCACACGCCGGACTTTTTTCAGTGCATTACGTACGTTCGGATTGAGACTTTGGGTAAAGCGTATATTAATATAAATATTAATATTAATATAAAAATTGCTAATGACAAATAAAATGTATATACATTTTTTTATATTTGCAGCTATTCTTTTTAATTTAAGAATCGAGATGTTGTTATTAAATTTAATTATCGAAGCTATTTTTTATTTACGTTTTACGTGTACATCCACGGTCGATCTTTCTGTGTAAACACATACTTATTGTATTTTTTCAAGTAATTACACATATGCTCGATTAGCAACAAAAACTGACGGTTTTTATATGGACATTGGGCTAATTAAAATAACATTGAAACATTAAAAAACATTGCTTTAAATACAAGCCAACATTTACTATATTTGTGATATTACTTATAATGGTAGTTATTTGAAGATGAAAGAAGTCAAGCAATCTGAATTCTTTCAAATTTTTGGCAGAGCTAATTTTGCAAACAAGTGGGGGCTATTTTTAAATTCCAAACATGGTTAAAGGGAAAGAAAACGCAATAGTATTGAACATATGTGAACATATGGGTTTGAACGGATGGTATGGAGTACACTCAAATCTTCCAACAGATAGTCCAATAGCAACATTACGAGTGTTGTGATTTTGTATAATCACGAGACAACCCACCATATTACATTGCGTTTTTGTAATCATTAGTTTTATGCATTGTACGAATATAGTATATACACAGCTAAGTTACATCACAAATGCGCAACTGAATAGTTGTTAATTGTCTACTTATAATGCAAACACGTCTAAATGTATCAGGAGAATTTTCAGCATTTGCGCTTTCGTGCTCAACCGGCAACGAAAAAAGTTAAGTCATTCAGGTTTAATTATTTGATTAATAATGCTGTTTTATTCAAAATAACAGTTTCCTCTTTTTTTTGCCATTATTATAATCTGTAAATATAGTGCAGTACATTATATTTTAAAAATACTTTAGATTGAATATAAATATCGGAAGGATAATAAAAGAAAACTTTTCAGTCAGCTGCACTGCATCGGTTTGGAAGCACGAAAAAAAAACTCTGAATACTTGGCAATCCAACATTAGAGATTAAGTTTTTGACTTGGTATGAATGACATAATTAAAAGAAAGGAATATAAGACAATTCAATTTTATAGTACCTAAGTATTTCTGATTCAAGCTCGTAATAGTGCGTGGCTTAAAACTACTAGAGATCTTGTGCCTGGAGTCCAAAATGGCATACTCATAACTCCTAAAATCATCTCAATGTTGATGGGTTTATTGGATCTGGACTAAATAATACAAAGAATTTTGTTCCATATTCCGTCATTTGGCTGGAAACGCAAACTGGGTCACACCTAATAATGTTATTTTAATTGTTTCTTGTTTTGTTTACGATTTAAAAAAAAAAAACAAGCAAGCATCTTATGTGGCATTTTTATTGCCAATTGATTAGCCAATAAAATAAACAAATACAAATAATGAAATTAATATTTTTAAACACACAAAATAAAAATACGAGCATAATCGAAACAGAACCAATTTAATATACAATTTGATTGTTTTATTGGAAATCCGAAATTTCTGTGTATATTTATTTACATATGTACAAGTATGTACGAGTATGTGGTAGGTATTAACGCGGCCTATAAAATGATAAATTAGTACATTTTGGCTTATTGTTCAAATGTGTTTGGCGTGTTCTGTGTTCGCAGCTATTGGCAACTGCAATGGCAACTATTCATGGCAATTATTAATATCTTCGGAAGCCTTTGAATTCGCAACGATACGATTTGTTTATAATGCCTGAGCAGTTTTTATATGCGGCTCGTTTTTGATTTGATTTCAATTTCAATTTCTTTTATGCGCTCGCCGGCATTGCCAGAAATGTAAAGCGCCATTTGGATTGGTACTACGTTGAAATTTATTGTATGTTTACAAATCCACACACACACGCACACGTACACACACAAATGCATGTAGTTGCGGATCTTGAGAGGGGAGGCATATATCAGAACTAAGAGTACTATATAGTATATACATATTGTCTGCATACATGACCTCGTACTTCATAGTTTATTTTTGTAGCCATAATTCGATTGTGCGATTGCTGATTCTTATGTATATCTGTTGTT